ATCTTATCTTTCAGATAAGAAGTATGGCCTTTGACATGTTTGCAACAAACTCTCAACACTTACACACTCTGGCACACTCACACATGCATACACAGGTGTACATGGAGTTGCGAGAGCCATTTGTTGAATGACGGGCTGTTTGGAGTTGGGGTAGGGTGAGGTGGAGAGAGGTAGAAGTGGAGAAGAGAGGCAGAGGTGTGGCGGTGAAGACAAGCTGTACGTTCAGAAACAGACTGTCTTTGTGCTTGAGGCGCAGTGAGTGAATGCATGTCTAACCAGGCAGAACAGCTCGGTTGAGGTGTGTGTGTGTGTGTGTGTGTGTGTGTGTGTGCAGGAGGGTGAGTTAGTTTCAGCATCTCCAGGTCTCAGCTGTGGTGTAATTGATTAAATGAATTAGTATGAAATGCAGAATTAAACTCCTTGAATAGCGTCATATGTTATCTAGGGTTACATCTGTGTGTCTATGTAGGCGGATGTGTGATTAGAATTAAATATGAAATTAGTCTTGATAAATAGCACCACACACACATAATTAAATTAACCACTCTGTGTTCAGATGTGTTAGCATAAATGAAATGTTCACCTCGTGTGTTTCATCCTGCAGAGGGGTGGCAGGTTGGTCAGAGAAGCTGTCTTAAAAGGCTGCTTGTTTAATTTCTGTCATTGTTTGGTGTCCAGGACGTACAGCTGGATGGCAAATTAAAGTAAAAAGATGCATAAAATGTCTTAGAAAGGTGTTGGGCCACCACAAGCCAGCACACATTCTCCATGTCTCTGGACCTCTACTGGAGGGATGAACACCATTCTTCTAAAAGATATTCCCTGATTTAGTGGGCCAGATCAGTCTGTAACAGAAAATTACTTGGGCCGGAATGACTGCCAGTATTACTGGGGAGATCACTGGTTTCTCAGCTAAGAGGCTTTGTGTAGCAGGGAGATGGGTGAAGTCTTGCTTTTGCACTTGTCCCACGAGCAGTGCTAATTTCACCTCAAAAGCTTATGTGGGAATACATGTCAAATATTAGTTTCTCCTTGCCTTGGAGTTGCAATATGAGGCCCTTGAACATTTCTGTCACATCTGTTAAATAGAATAAAAAATAGGCTAGGTTCCGTTTCCATTCTGTGTCGATCAGTTCTGGGACAGTTTTGCCCTTTGTCAGAAGAAAGGCATTGATTTTGGGTAGGGCTCATAAAAATGCCTCAAAGCTCTGCCGTTTAACCATCAGACTTCTGTGTGGTAAAGCACATCTCCATGAGCAGACTCTGCCTGGGAGAGAAAAGCTTGGAACTGCCTGTGTTTAAGTCTGTTTGCTCTGAAGAAGTTTATACATTACACCATCACCTTCATGACAGATTCCCACTTCAGAACTTCGCAGTACAGTGAGACAAGACCTCTTTTTTCCATTTATCTATTCAAGCATCCTATGACTCCCCTCAACGCAACAACCTTACTAGGAGCCCCGGCAGCCCTGATGCTGGCCAGCTTAGACCAGCCTAAATCCGGCTCTCCCATTGGTTGGCACACTTTATCAAAAATAACCTCCCCTGTCATGGTACCTTTGAAACTTTGTAGGATGAAGAAAAATAAGCACCTGTCCTGTATCCTGCAGGTTATTACTCTCATCCAGTGCTAATGTAAAAAAATTAAATTCTTCACTTTCTCCTGCAGCTGGGCATATACATTATCCCCCATTTCTTCAATTCATCTGGTGATTGTACTTGCGGACAGACTCACTGCATTTAAGACCGCTTTCGTATGGCGGCACAACTCCTCCGCAACAGCATTCATACATTTCTTGATGAACTCACCAATGAGTTTGGCTACCTGAAATCCAAGTCAACTGGATTACTGGTTCAACTGGGCTTGGCCTACAAACACAGCCGATTCTGCTTTTTAGCTTAGACACTTTGCCTGCTCTCACAGTGTTTTCTTTGAACACAGACACTATTTCTTGACAGATGAGACAAACAGCATCACATTTCTTTGCATTGAACAAAAACAGCATCACTTGTTCACTGTTTGTTAAATACCTTGCATCCTGAATCAACATTTCTCTTTCCCAAACGTTTGGCCATTTTGTTGTATCTTTGAATTTTCTTGCTGGCTCGCCTGCACCTGCCATAGGTCAGTATCATGAGCTGATCACGATGGAACATTATGTTGAATATACCATTCTGTTCGTGTGTGAAACTACCTAATAATTAGGCTACCTTTACAATTACAGAAAATAATTAAGGGACATTTTTAATAGTTAATAGTTGAGGGAAATTTTAGTTTGAAAGCCAACCTTTATTATCAAATACAGATGATTAAAACATGTATTTAAAATGTAGTTTTCAAAATATATAGTCCAAAATCTCTCATAGGTAGATCGACATAGAAATAACAGCAAAGCAAGAGAGCGAGCAGAGAGAGGGGAAATGACATGCAAAAACGGATCCCGACCAGATGTGATTCATGGCCTTAACCCCTATAAATCAACAGGGTGCTCAAACTTAAGCAAAAGTAGTACAACAATGAAAATACTCCACTACATGTAAAGGACCTGCAATCAAAATGTTTACTTAATTGAAAGTATACAAATATTAGCAGCAAAAACCCTACTACTTTTTGTGCTATTGGGAAGTTGAATCTAAAACAATGCATTTCATGAACTGATTGTGGGTTTCATCTGAAAAATAACTAGTAACTAGCTGTATATAATGTATATGTACATGCATGTAATATTTGCCTCTAAATCATAGTGGAGTAGAAGTATAAAGCAGCATCAAATGGAAATACTTGAGTAAACTGCAAAAACCTTAAAACTGTACTAATTTACCATTCACAGCCAACCTTTGTGGCCTGTACAGCAGTTGTTTCTTTTACTTTCTCACCTATTTGTATGTTAACCTCTTTCAGGCCTGCTCTAAAGGCACAAACTATATACACATTCATACACTACAATACAACATCTGACAAGATTTGACTCAAGGACACACACACACACACACACACACACACATCCACTGGTGAGATCAGAGGCTTCTTTCTGGCACAAACAGGAAACTAATATAATCTAATATCTGTCTGAGTTGCACACATCATCTCCTCTGGCCACATTTACTGTTAAATCCTCATGAGCTTCACAGTGACTGTGTGTGTTTATTTTACCGACACAATCAGGGAACGAGTGGCGACGACCAAACTTATGGCCTGGCAGTGACGTGAGTGTATATACTGTAGTTGAGTCATGTCAGAGTCACACTACCTGGCTATGACACACAGCAAATAAAATATCAGCCACAGAGAAGCGACACACACACACATACTGACATATATTCACACATACGCACATACACATAACAAGTTCAACCAGGGTGTGTAAACCTGTCCAACTCCACAACCTTTAGTTGAAAAAGGCAGTTTGGATCAGGCTCAACTTTTTGACGATATCATTTTAAAATGCGACAGCTACCCATTTGCTGTGGGTGTGAAGTTATTCATTTATGAGTTATAGTTCTAGGTGGAGGGAACAATAACGATAGCAAAGGTTCAGGCTGTTTTGCATACCGTATTTGGCTGTGTATGCAGTGTTCAGTGTCTGTCATTATGGCTGGGGGGGTGTTTACACTATCTTCTCACCTTGTACCTTCTGTACTTTTGTTCTTCTGACTTTACAGATTTATGATCGCTACAATGTGAACAGTTTAGGGTCTGTTTGTTGTTATGTGTGTGGACTGGTTTGTGTCACAGAGGCGCTCCCTTCACATTGTGTTCTGTTCTGTTTCTGTTCTCTGTTCTGTGCTTTTTGCCAATAAAGTGAGCAGAGATACAAACTCATCCTCAGACGTCCACAGAGGAGGGTTGGTGAACAATGCTTTCCATCTGCTACATAATTATTTGAAATAAAGTTGAAAGTGTGATGTTTAATTCCTGGAGGGTTTCATCAGAAAACATTAGGCCTAAACAAGAAATCAAACACAGAGTTGGCAACTGGATAGTGATTACCCACCAATTAGAAACATTTCTCCCAGAAAGAACATTCCAGCACATTTGGTCAGTGGATGAAAGAAAGCAAAGGCTTGATGCAGCAGACTAATATCTTAAAAAACAGGGAACTGTCCTGCATTAAAAATTACAGCAAGTATGGAGAATTGCAAGTCTAAATATACTCCTCAGATTATGCCATTATTTTGGGTGTAATTTTTACAACGCTAGATTGCTTATCAGAAACACTTAAAAAATCTTCATTGTCAAACATATAGTCTATGTTGATCTGCACTGGATATAAAACGTCTTGATTTTGTGGGTTTAGGCTGATGCAGATGTTCTTTATCGCATTTCCCTCTACAAATTCACAAGAAACAGATTTGTGATGGTATGTCATGTTGCTCCTCAGAAACGATTTATTTAGGTTTTTATTCATCTGTCTGGGAACGGGATGTCATTATAAAAACTATTACAGTTTGCAAAGCTAATTTACATATCCACCGCAGGTTCTCACCGCACCCTTTTTTTCTATGACAACTCTCAGGCACTTAAGTAGCCTATGTTTCCTTTTGTTGTTTAGGTGGATGGACTATTATTATTATTATTATTATTATTATTATTATACAGTAGAAATGAAAACAGGAGGGAAAAAACTATTAAGGCCTATAAAGAAATAGCCTATGGTGATCTCTTAAGCTCTGGTTTAGGTAGGTATTTTTAGGTAGGAAGGTATTTTATTCGGCAGCCTTTTCACGCTGCCGAATAAAATACCTTCGGTACACACAATGATTTAATGGCATCTTACCAAGGTTTTACAACTTTTATCTCTGGCCTCTTCATTACTTTGTAGACTGCTCTCACACTCCGTGTGTGTATGAGTCGCGGTAGGCGGGTTTTCCGCCAGCAGGGTTTGGTTGATTCTCTATTGATTTGTTAGAGGGGCGGAGGAGGAGGAGGAGGAGGAGGAGGAGAAAGTGAAAGGGGAGGAGTGGAAGAGAAAGCCCGGCCTGGTGACGAAGAGAGATGTGATTGTGCGTGTTTGGGACGAGAGAGGAGAGCACGGAGTGATCACAAATCAAGGCACAAGTCCGACCGCGAAGGGAGCGCACTTCAATCACGTGGGGTGTGGGTTTGTGCAGGGGAAAAGTAAAAGTGTCGTCGGAGTGACTTCTGCACGTACTTTGTTTTCCTCCTCTCTTTGCCTTTCCACCACCTCCGCCCTGCATTCCGCGGAGCAGCTGTGTTTTCATGCCCCTGCGCACCCGAGGAGGAGAGGAAGGAGAGAAGAGTGAGGAGGAAGAAGAAGAAGAAGAAGAAGAAGAAGAAGAAGTGAGAAGGCCTGGACACCACCCCTCCTCGTCCTTTGGAGGTCTGTCCACTCTCCCCTCCTGGCCCTGCATGGACGGGGATGGGGAGAGCCGGATGCTGTTGCCGCGGGGCTGAGCGCCTCGCCTCCCCGTCTCTAGTGCGCCGCTTCCGGCCACTGCTGCTGCTGATCATCGCTCTCTGCTGTGGTGCTCACATAGGTAACTACCTACACTTCAACACTGCAAAACTAGTCTGTCCCTCCGTCATAACCGCAACTTATCTGCAATTTTACGCACTTTGTTATCCAATTTCACACTTATTGCCGTGCGCTGCACCAACTATAACCACGGTAACAACATTTATTTTAAGTATGCTACATTTAGCTGTAATCAGGTAGACATTATTAGTTATTAAGCGTTTGTAATGATTGTGTGGCCGATCCTTGTGTTGGGCCCAGTGCTGCCTGACAATGGCTCTCTCTCCAGCGGCAGTGCTGCAGTCTGAGCACGGATCGAGTTTCTCCTCCTCTCTCCTGGGCCGTCATTCTCCTGTCTGCCCCTTAATGGCTCATGGAGGAGGGGAAGAGAAGGGAAGAGAAGGTGGCTACTTTTCCTGGTGTCCATATATAACAGATTACAGCTTTCCTCAAAGAACAATATTGGAGAAAAAACAGAATCTATCAGCATACATCAGGTCATACCAACTTAGGATCAGGGCTTTACTGTGTCGTAAATCTGACTAGATCTATTGCAGGATAAATTTTATGTTCAGCCGGATTATGCAAATTCATAAAATGCATCATAAGAAATAGTTTGAAGTGATTACAGTTACACAAGGGGGACTCTTTAAATGAAAAACCATAAAGTAATCCATGTCTGACCAGCAATCTCTTTGATTTATGGTTATTTGTTAGCCATAAGCCAAATGATGGACAAAAATTAAAACCAAGAATTCAAACAAAAGAAGAGTCTGTTCATTGAAAGGTTAATAAGGTGTTTGTAAGGACTATTGACAAAAAACCCACAATATGACTCTGTGGCTGTACAGAGGTCATGTTTTACTGCATTGCTTGTTGGTTTTAAATTCAGTTGGTTAAGTTTTGGTAGAAACATACATTTTTCATTTGGTGCAAAAAGCAGCATAAGATCCTCTTACCAGAAACCAGCTTTTTTTGTCTGTGTGTGTTGCTGTGTGTGCAAGGGGGTCGGCTGTTGTGGCGGCTGTCTGTTGAGCAGTCACACCTCCAGTAATTAGTTTAACACGGCCCAGGCAGCGGGACAAAACCGCCTCTGCGCGCAGCCTGGTGGGAACAGAGAGACCTACTTCACGTTAAAGACCCTCTTGGCACCTTCTGCTACATGTGCGTCACCTGGAAAGAATGTGTATTATTTAGTCTGTTTAGCCAAACAATGTTTTATTTGTTAGAACTTGTACATTTCAAGGTATTCAGACATATTTCACTGTCGCTCCGTCAGCTCCATGTGTCTGCTTAGATAGGGAGGCCGGAATGTCTGAATTGTTGACTATTGTTTCCCCTCCCGAGTGTCTACTTGAGAGAGAGAAAGAGTGCATGCTGTAGTGAGCTCCTGTAAAGCTTTCTTGTGTGATTTGAGCTCAGTGTGTGAGAGAGTGTGCACAACAAGGTGATCAATAAGCACTTCACAAGCCATTCCCTCGGTTGAGAGATGATCCCAGTAGATCCTTTACTGATCTCCGGAGATCAGAGAAGTTGGAGGAGGCTGTCGGATAGGGAGACAAAGAATCAATAACAAAGAATAAACCAAGCCTGAGAGATTCAGCTGGTGGATCTTTTGACCTCTGCCTGATTTTAGAGAGGGTGCCTCAGGATGCGGGGAAGAGAGATAACTTGGGGGCGAGGAGACCGGCCAGGGAATCAGACTGAGAGGGCTGAAGGCTGAGAACTGAATAGTGATATATCAGAATAGTGCTGATGAAGGGAAATGACTTGAGCTGGGGGGAAAATGAGCAGTTGAATTGGCTTGAGAGAAAAGAAAAGATGGAGTGAAAAAGAGAGGTTAATATTCTGATATGACATGCAGTGGTGTGGGCATTGCTGGCTGTTTTATTGTGTCTATGTTAGAGACTCACCCTAGGGGATAAAAGAAACTAGACTCTGTAAATGTTGAATGACCCTCGTACATCAGTTCCTTACATGAGGAGTTCCTTATTCTCTTCAATTCAGTATTCATCTCCTCGGCTCAACTTACCACAAATTGCTTATTTATATTCATAGATTGGATTCTCTTTTGAAAGTACAGCTATGCAAGCTTAGAAAAACGTGCTTAGGGGGACGGCTGTACAAATCGGAGATCATGGGGGAGCCTTGATGAACAAAACATCAAAATTGTGCTTTAATATTGATCCAGAATGTTAATTAATTAATTAATTATCATCTCTAAATCCTCTCTTTGCTGGATTCATTCACAGGCAGGCACGAGTGCAGGGTTAGCACAGTGGGAGCTGGTGTGAAACTTCAGCAGATGCTTGTTGTCAGAAAGGTTTTAACCTTTATATAAGTCAGTGATTTGAACACAAGTCCTTTAGTTACAGCGTCGACTCCCTTCTCGCTGTGTCACCCTGCTGGGAAAATGTCAGTGAATGAGTGCTTTTGTGTGTTTTTTAGAGCAGTTCATGATTCTGATACCCTTCGAAAGAGAATAAACCCACTCTGATTAGATTGGGAGCGGTATTTAGGCACTGCAGGGCAGATAGGAGGTAGAGAACGAGGCTGTTGGTGCACCAGTCAAAGACACAGTGTGTCCTCAGTGCTCAGACCGTCTGTACAGTGGTGGTTAGCATTGAAGACAGCCTGTGTGTGTGTGTGTGTGTGTTTATGTCTGTGGGTTGGTGTCAGTATTTAACAGGCAAGAGAGACATTCTGAAGTGTGGTGTGAGTGGGGGTCTGTACCTGCACCCTGATTTGTAAAACTCAGAGCACTACTGCCCCCAAATGGTGGCACCCAACTCCTTCATGCCCCATAATCAAATAAATGTACAAAGAAGAACTGGAATGTGCTGTTTGCTTGTGTGTTATTGTGTTAGTGGAAATGTATGGTTGTTAGGTGATGGTGTGAAATTAAGGTAATCTGTTGACGTCAGTAAAAAAAAACATGTACCTTCTGCTTTTGCTTGGCTATAAGGAGATCATACCACCATCTGGAGATTACTGACTGTGCATTTAACAGAAACACAAACAGCATTCTTTCTAAAATAGCTGTGTGTGTGTGTGTGTGTGTGTGTGTGTGTGTGTGTGTGTGTGTGTGTGTGTGTGTGTGTGTGTGTTTGTGCGGCTGCCCATACACTGCAGAGCCTCTCTCTGGCCTAATCTAATAGGAGCATGCTGTGACTGATGCATTAGGTCTGGTCTCTAATCTCTCGCTTGCTCTAACTCCCTCTCTCTCTGATGATCTATGATATAAAAGGATGGTTTGACCCTTGTTACATTCAGAAAATGTAGCAATATTTAAAACATCAGGGACAGTTTCGGACCAAGAATGGGTATACAAGGACAGAATAATTAGTCTGCTGGATGCATTTCCTCTGTTGCTCATAGTTAAAGCTGTAAACAAACATTAAAGTGACCACATTTGAAGTTATGTTTAATAAATGTTGCATTTTTTATTTTCTCTCTGGTAAAGCTACACAGAAACACAAATACCCTCAAAAATGAACCACAGAATTTCATTATAAGCCTTACAAAGTCATAGTAGTATGTCTGTTTGCACAGCACACCTTGTATTGTCTTGCTCTCTTTGTCTATAATGTTATGTGCTCCCTGGCTATATAAGCAGTATTATCTCACTCATTGTGATAAAACGTTTTTTATCTTTTCTCTCTGGCTGCTCTTTGGTTTATTACACTTCAGGTTTATTACACTCGCAGAGCTGCACTGGTCATTGTTCAAGACTTTCAACTAGCGGCCGGTCCTTTTTCCAATTTTATTAGATTGGATTGTAACAGGCTGGTAGCATTGTGTGTTTAAGTTCAAAGCTGTCTACACACAATAACCTTCTGTCTTCTGTGTGTTAAATCCAGCTCTCAGTGTAGTACATACCTGCATTATCTGACACATGATAATCTTTAAAGCTGTTATAGCTGGTCACATATCACTACTACTGTTTCTGTTATAACATCACTGTGCTAACAGTATTTCTGCATCTCTCTCTCTCTGTCCTCTCCAGGTCATTGCCAGGTAGCCACCCCTCAGTGCCGTATCCAGAAGTGCACCACCGACTTTGTCTCCCTGACCTCCCACCTGACGCCAGCCGTGGATGGCTTTCACACTGAGTTTTGCAAGGCTTTACGTGCGTACTCGGCCTGCACCCAGAGGACGGCCAAGTCCTGCCGGGGGAACCTTGTCTTCCACTCGGCTGTGCTGGGCATCTCCGACCTCATGAGCCAGAGGAATTGCTCTAGAGACGGGCCCACTTCCTCCACGCACCCCGAAGTAGTCCATGAGCCCTGCAACTACCACAGTCGCACCCAGCACGCCCACACACACTCCCACGGGCATGCACACACACACTCCCATGCTCACAGCCACAGCCACTCTCGGCCTTCGTACCTGTTCTGCGGGCTGTTCGGGGACCCACACTTGAGGACGTTTAAGGACAGCTTCCAGACTTGTAAGGTAGAGGGGGCATGGCCCCTCATCGATAATGACTATCTGTCAGTACAGGTCACTAATGTTCCAGTGGTACCTGGTTCCAGTGCCACAGCAACCAATAAGGTGAGAAAAGGACTATTATAAAGGGAAGCAAAGAGAAATGGGGTCTAATTTCCTGTTATTAAGGCTGAAAGAGTTCCCTAAGTGAGAGCAGCTGGTGTAATCTAGTTTATTTCTGTGTGTGTGTGTGTGTGTGTGTGTGTGTGTTAGAGAGAGGAACATTTTCTATAATGACATCTAAGTTGCTTTTCATATACATATATATATATATATATGTATGTGCCTCGGTGTAACAAATGTTATCAATGTGAGGCTGGAAAACACCCTTGCACTTCTTGCCCTACTATTCTCTCTCTGTCTGTCTCCTTCTCTGTGTCTCTTGTGTTTCTTTCTCCTGTGACTGAAGCCGTGTTGGAAACATAACTTGGTTAATGGCTGCATATAGCCTGACCTCTAATAACATGGAGTGAGATGTGTGAAAGGACCTTCTGTTTACTTATGTGTGTGTTTGCAAGTATTTGTGTGCGTGTGTGTCTCATAAGTGGCACTCCTTGCACTCAGCTTAAAGCACTGTGTGTTAAAGGGCCTTATCCCTTAATGATAAAAAAGACACACACACACCACCAAATGGATGACGAGCCACACAAGGTGATCTTTGTGGTGTTAAAGAAGCTTTGTTGATGTTTCCCCCGATGATCTGCCCTCTCTAGCTTAGTCGATAGCTTTAATTATTAAAACACATACACACCCATGCATACACTTAGTCACACACTGGCAGAAACACACGCACACACACACATTAAGCAAATAGTAGGGTTGCTACACTGTGGAGCTATAGATTTGACCTTGTGTCAGAGGTGGGGCAAGTTATTAGTCACGATTATTAGGGACACACACACTCTTACACACACACACACACACACACACACACACACACATTAACAGCCCTCCAGGCTTAATGGCCTGCCAGGCCTCATTCCTCATGGCTGTCATGTGAACAAAGCAGCCATTCACCGGAACTATGATGCTAGTGCTAACCGTAATGTTCACACCACACCCTGCATCCAGCACTGCCTCCACTCACCACTGGAGGTGTGTGTGTGTGTGTGTGTGTGGTGTGTGTGGTGTGTGTGTGTGTGTGTGTGTGTGTGTGTGTGTGTGTGTGTGTGTGTGTGCATGTGTCAGCATGTTTGCATAGCTGTGTCAAATTGCAACTTGTTAAAAAGTAATTTAGTCATTTCTTAAATGTAGTGTGATGAGAGTCAATAACCTGTGTAACGGGATTAATGGTTTAGTCTATGAATTGTCAGAAAATAGTGAAGGTTTCAGTTTTATCCAACCAAAAGATACAACAACACGAAACAGAGAAAAACAGCAAATCGTCAACAAAGAAACATTTTTAGTAGCTGCTGATTAATTTCTGTAGATCAACTAATAAATTAATTGGTGCTGCATTTATTTTTATTATTGATTGTTTCATGATGTAAGGATTATTTTCTCAGTTAACTGGTTAACCCTTTACTAAAAATAGTGAAAAATAACCGTGAAACATATTTAATTGCTTATCATATATGACAAAGAAAAGCTGCAAATCATCACACTCGAGTGGCTGAAAATAGCTGAAGATTCATTTTCTTTCAATTGACTAATCGATTAATTGACTAATTGATTCTGCTCCACTCTTCTCCCTGATGAAAGTTGAGCTGGTACTATATCTACAAAATTGACCTGGTAACTGTGAACTCTATACTTGCATTTTAAAATTGTTCATCCATTGAACATGTAAAATGTCTCTACATCTTACCCGATGCTCCCTCTCTCCCTCGCTCCAGATCACCATCATCTTCAAGCCCTATGAGGGTTGTACAGACCAGAGGGTTTACCAGGCCGTCACAGACAACCTCCCTGCTGCCTTTGATGATGGAACTGTGAGCAGTGGAGACCCGATCCACACTTCTGCAAGTGCAGACGGTACAACTGGGAAGGTCCGAGCTCTGTGGATCTCTGAGCGCAGCCCGGGGCACCATGTGGAGCTGCACGCTGGCTACATCGGTGTAACTGTAATCGTTCGCCAGCTGGGCCACTACCTGACCCTGGCAGTACGGATCCCTGAGGAGCTGGCTCAGGCCTATGATGCCACCCAGGACCTGCAGCTCTGTCTGAACGGCTGCCCCAGCGGAGAACGAATTGACCAAGCAGGGCACCTTCCCCTGCCCCTCTCCCCACTCGGCCTACAGCTTCAACAGCTGCGTCGGCCTAGCTACTCCTCACAGACACAAGCATCCCCCTACGCTGCCATGCAGGTTTTTGGTGTGGAGGGGGCGAAGGAACGCTGCAGGGAGCAGCTGGAGGTGCAGGACATTTACTTCCACTCCTGCGTGTTTGATCTCCTGACCACCGGGGATGCTAACTTCACAGTGGCGGCGTACAGCGCGCTGAAGGACATGGAGAGTCTCCACCCTCACCGGGATAGATGGAGGATCTACCCTCGCGGCTCTGCCACCTCTACCTTCCACTTTGCTTCTCAACCTATCAGATGGCTCACTCTGCTCCTGCTGTGTGCCCTCAGCGGGGCCTTGATGTAAGAGCTGGAGAGGGAGTCTTTGTGTGTGTGTGTGTGCACTAGAAAGAGAGTTTTATGAGTTTCTTTGCTGAGCACTGATACTGAGCACTGATTCCTCTCTCATGTAGAGAGGAAACAGCTGTCTGGACAGTTACTGGGAACCTGTGTTTTTGTAGAAGAGGTGGCAGACCTCCCAGTGGGCACAGGAGTTGGCAACACTAATTGCATCTTACCTGGCAGATTCAGCCCTCTGGGGAATAACACAGGAGATGTGATGATGGCTTTTGCAGTCTGTCTTCATTTTTGGCTAGGACCCTTGACAATGACACAAATGTACCTGTGTGGGTGAATTGAGTGTGTGGATATACACTCCAAACTGTAAATAGCTTGTCTTCAGTGCACAATGTAATGGCGTAGTTTGTTTTTTTAAATTCATTAAATGTGATCTTTCTTTAATGCCTCAGACAGAGGATGTTTGTTTTTAACAGAAGCACTTTATTTAGTTTTTTTTTTTAATAAATCCACATCAGTGTTTCTTCTTCTCACTTACTGTCCTCCACCAAAGTCTCAGAAAGCTCACATTTTGGAGACCATCTATAATTAGATTTTTGAGCCTTTCAAAGTAAAAAGTAAGTCTGTCAAATAGAAGGAGCTGCCATTTTTGTTAAAATGCATCGTTCTTCCAGTAGCTGATTTGACTCAGCGTGTCATTTTAAGTCAGTCAATGTGAGTTGTTCTCTTTTGAATGTATTATAATTATTGTCACAGCAAATGCCATCAGTACAGTAGTTTTGTTGCTGTATGAATTTGTTGTTTTTTATCAGTCCTGATTTCAAATATGTGTGTGTCTGTGTGTTTGTGTGTGTGAATGTATGAATGTGTGTGTGTGTGTGTGTGTGTGTGTGGCTGTGTCAGTGTTTTTTGTTTTTTACTAGTTGGTGACATGCTTGGATGTTTTTTTTTTATTTCCTCTGAGATTCATGTTGGAGGTATTCCCACCTTGCCAGGAGGCTGTGATGATACTGGCTCATGTATGTTGCTCACTGCATTCTTGTGTTAATTTCCGCCAAAGACAGATACTGTATGGTTTTGATGAACAAAGGAAATCATAACTCACCACCAAACCAGCACCCATCTACCCCTCACACTCTCTCTCCCCTGTTTCAGAAGTTGCTACTGTAGACTGTTTTACTCCTACTGCCAGAATTGATGAGCTGCTCCTTACTGGGATACGTGTAAGATACTGGAGTGTAGACAAAACACTGCAAATCACTGAGAAAACTTTACCACACTGTCTGCTGAGTTAAGCGCTCCAGCAGTGTGTTGTGGGAAATGTATTTGATACCTGATAGAAATGCCAACCCTTAGGACTATGAGCCTTTTTAACATGAAACATTCTGTGTAATTGTGCCCCATTTGGTTGGCCATATAAACTTAATCTCAGTTTTGACATTGTGATCTCTTACATCATGTGTGAGTGTCAGTTTGGTAAAGAGTGGCGGGTCAATGTTGAAATATTTACTTATTAACTTATTTATGAACGTAGTGTCCTGTAGAGGAAGTTAAGCTCCATATTCTTGCTGTTGGATAATAATTTAAAAAATGTCAGATGTGATTGTACTGCCACTTAGTGGTGCTCTGTTGCTATGTCAGTGTGTTACTCAAGGCGTTCAAAAAAACGAGGAAAAAACTGTGTGCAAGTGTTTTATTTAAGAAATAATAAAGTCAAAATGGTCCAAGCTTACTTCCTGTTTCTTAATGTCGCAGACATTTGAAAAGGCAAAATAAGGATGCGAAATTATTTGTAAACTTCCAAAAACCTTACACCAAGTTTTCCCCATAATATTTTTAATAATTCAAGGAACTAATAATTAAACAAGAGTAAGAATACACACGGCTCACACACATATATACAACAGTATGTGCACGAACCCATCTGTCTGAGGTTAGGTTTTGATCAGATACCAGGCTTGGCCTCACAAACACAATCTGTCTTCAACTGCCACAATTGACAACACCTGGGATGTCAATGACAAAAGGCTGAAAAAGGAGCAGCATAGGTTTGTAGCATTTGAGACCTGTTACTCCTGTGAGCTTGACAGTGGGTCTATTCCAATCCAAACTTCAGTAAAGGACCAAGGACAAAGCGAACGACAAGGATGTACTACGCTCAGCTTATTCCAGTGCAGAAATGTGCAGAAGTTCCCCTCTCTGGGTTGATTTTCTTTTCAAGGTCACACGGTGCATCAGAAGCCCTCTGTTTCCAACCATCTAAAAGTCAAATACATTGTTACAATCTTTGAAACAATATGAGTTAAAACAAATTTTTTACACTCAGCACAATGAAGGTGAGTGAAAACTTTTTACTATTTTTTCATTGCTGGCACTTTAGTCCAAATAAAGCACACAAACTCATCCTCTTACCACTTAATAACAACGTAAGTGGTCATCAAAGAGTTAAAGACGATGATCTTCATGAGAAGCAGTCTCATAACCAGGACAACAACTGTGTTTGTCCACAGACCAACATCTGGAGATCAAACCACACAGACCAACATAAGTTACAACATGAACCACAGGGAGTTTTAAAAAACTGTTTGCACACAATTAAAATGTACCTTCTGTCTCTTCATATTCATAGCAGATGTTGGCTTGATGATCTGAAATTATACAAATATATTAAAAGTGTAAAATAAAAATAAGTTACCTTTATGTGTAGAAATAACAACCAAATTTAAGATTCTGGTATACTCACACGATCAGCTAATTTCCTACCTGACGAGGTGGTGTGGTGTTTCCTGATGACTTTTGAGTGTCGTCTGTGACTCACAGAGCAACTGTACGATGGCCAGTCACTGGTTGCCACTGTGATGATTGCCACAGCGCTGTGGCCGCGATTCTTCCTGTTTACAGCAACGCTGTATGGTGAGCTGGACATGTGGCCTTCTGACTGTGACGTCCACCTGACCTCTAGGTGGCCTCTCCTGAAGTCACTCACCATACAGATCAGCAGGGTCCAGCCCAGCCGTTCCCCTGACAGGTGGACTGGAGGGGCCAGAGATGCAAGCACATCACCCTCTACCCCTCCTGCAAGATAATGGAGGACAACATGAGGATGATCACATTTTAACAAAGAGACATATGAAATGGGCAGAAGTCTTGGTTCTCTAACAGGAGGCTATGCTTTTTTGTTCAAACACAACATTGCAATGAAGTACAGAAAATCTATAGTAGTTGTAATTATGATTTGGCTTAAAAATGACATGTTTGCTGTTTGGCTTATAAGAAAAGAAAAAATAAATACATAAAGTATAACAGTTCATAATTACATTTTTCATGCATTTAACATCGTTGCCAGATACAACTACAAATGTGTGCTGCAGTCTTAAAAGCTAATCAATCTTTGTGAGTTTCATGTAGTACCTCCAGTAGAAGGAGTCAATATTACACAAAAACCTGAGGAGAGGGTTTGTATGTTGTACAGATTTCAAATCTCAAATTTGGGATTTTGTGATATATAAATAATATTAACTTGACTTTACTTAACTTTCAAGAGCCACAGATTAAACTTAAATATGGTGGTCAGGCTCTAAATAAAAAACTAAAAGTCCCTCTGAAGAGTCAATATATTCGACTTGTGATTTTCACCAAACAATAATTTGGAATTTTCTTTCCTACTGAATTATAATCATGCATTAGAAATTAAAATCTCTTACCAGTCCATAAATAAATGATAGGAAGGTAAAATAGACCCCTGGATGGCTCAGTCATGTCTGCTATAGTTAAAGTAGCTTCAGTGATCACTGCCTTGTTTGCGTGTGTTTGTGCACCTTGTGTATATGTGAGTGTGTGAAATGGGGGCATGCCATTTGGCTTTGCCAGGGGCACTGCTGCATTGTGGGGGATTGACATGTCTCATTGTTGTGACCTTATACTAACAATGGACCCCCCTCCCTTCACCCCCGACCTCAACACATACAAACAAACACACGCACACACAGAGAGAGGGAGAGAGAGAGTGTGAGCTCTCACACAAATGAGGCTTTATATGCCTTTATAAAGAGGGAGAAAGCTGAGGACAGTACAGTAATGTGGACATTAGAAAGTCAGTGAAGAGTCATTTAAACAACTGGAGAAAAGCACCTGCCAATGGCTGTTAGATCTGAGGTAAGAAACTGATCATATCAACATACCCAGCACATTAGACAACACCTGCGCGCACACACACACACACGTGGGTTTTTTTGCTTCAGCTTTGACCTTATTGCTGCAGTGGGCGGGAGCTTAAAAGTGAAAGTGAAACAGCAGGGACATGAAGGAAGGATGATGAAGCCAAAATGAGCGAGGTAAAGCTTTTGATATTTGCAGCGAATTGATTCTGTTAAAACACGGTCTCTAAAGCAGATACAAGACACGCGTTACTTTACTTACTGCAATCTTAATAAGAATTTGTTCCATTACTGGTGAACTTGTGGATTGTTGTAACTAACATAATGTTCATCTTAACAGCATGGCACAGCACAACTGCTGCCTTTGTATGCAGCCTGATTTGAACTGCAGTTATACTCCTGCAGCTGTTGTCACCTTACAGTTATAGCTGTGTCCTCATCTTGTTTTGTCCGCATGGAAAATCATGTGGTTCCTCTGTCACATGTTTGAGCCTCCTTCTTTTGTGTCATGGATGAGGCCCTAAAATATAAACACAGCTCAGTTTGTAAGAATTAACTGCTCAACAGAATTCATGTGGGACGCTTACAAGGTCCAAAACTGTCACCTTGCAACACCTTTACCATAGGTAGAAACAGGTGAAATAAGACGTTTGCTACATTGTGAGCTATGTGAGTGAATTTGTTGAGCAGGAAGTTCTCCATTGGTGAGACTATTAACATTTTTGATTGGACATTTAGGTGGTATAAATGTTTCATTAAGAGATGTACTGTATGTTGCGTGTGCTTAATCCTACTCTAATGTATTTCAGGTTCAAGAAAAAAAGGTCCTGAGACATTTTTGATTCATGAGCCATATTCTGATAGTGTGACACCTGGACAAATCATCTCGGCAGGCATTCAGCACCCACATCAGGTGGTCCTTCATCGCTGCTCATGTTTGGGATGTGACCAAGTTCAATAATAGCTGTCAGCCTGTCACACTGTTTGGCTTTTTTTCTTCAAATCAGTGGTTAAAAGTAATTTCCTCTACAATGGTCTTGGTGAGGCTGTTAGCGCTGTCTCTATTCCACGTGTCTCTGGTTGGATGTCAGCCCACCCACAGTTCACAACCAGCATCAAGCCCTCCTCACCCCAAGGGAGAACAGTCTCCTTTGGATACTGGTACTCTGTCCTTCCCTTGGAGCCGTCTTCGCCTGCCAAGGTACTCTTCACACTACTTTTGTTTCATACAATAAATTGACTAGAAAATTGGTTGACCTCTGTTTTTGAGTTGTTGATTAAAAAAACAATACATTTATTTCTCTTAGGTACATCATTCCTCTTCACTACCACCTCCTCCTGCACCCCAACCTCACAAGTCTCACTTTCACTGGCTCAGTGCAGATTGAGATTGATGTCCAGAACAACACAAACTGGGTTGTATTACACAGCAAGGGTCTGCAGATCTCCAAGGCGACTATATTGGACCAGGACCTCACTCATCTGTCTGACCAGGTAGCTGTAAATGCAGAGCTACAGGTTATTTATCATTGTTACTTACATTGGACCCAACTTATCTGTCACGCTCTGCTGGTTGGCCATCCTTTGTGCACTTTTGAGTTTAGTATCTGCCTTAGTATGTTGCATTTTGGGTTCTGTCCTGTCTAGTGTCCAGTATCTGTTATATAGTCTGCTTGTCATGTCAAGTCTCTGTTTTCCTCTGCTCTCTCTCTCTGCCTCGTTAGTCTCATGTCTGTCACCCTGCTCGTTAGTCCCTGTGTATATATACCTGGTGTTTCTGTCTTGTCCTTGTCCGGTCATTGTTCATGTTACCCCCCAGTCTGTTGTGTGTGTACTCTCTGCCTGCCTGTAACCAGCCTTGCTTGTCTTGTCTTGTCTCGTATCCCTGTACTTTTGGATTTCTGTTTTTCAGCCACTCACCTGTAAGTGTGCTCGCTTTTGGTTATATTAAAACCCTTCTTTGAACTATACCTGCTCCGCTCTGTGTCCTGCGTTTGGGTCCTCCAACCTGCCTCCACACCACGACCGTGACATTATCTTCATTTCTTATTCACTTAGCACTTGGAAATAATTGAATATATCCTGCTTTTCTCTTCATAGGTTCTTCCGGTGCTTCATAACCCTTCCCATGAGCAGATTGGCATTTTCTCTCCCAGGGTGCTCAGCAGTGGGCAAAAGTACTTTCTGTATATTGAGTTTGGGGCTGAAATAGCAGATGGCTTCTATGGCTTCTCTAAGAGCACCTACAGAACCAGTGCGGGAGAGACCAGGTAAGACTGGAAAGATTGATTCACAGCAGGCTTGGTAAAATATCCAACACATACATGGAGGGTCCAACAACAGTATAGTTTGTTGACTATACTATACAATACAATAAAAAATATGTCCTGATGTCTCTTTTCAGAATCTTAGCTTCAACTCATTTTGAGCCCACGAGTGCTCGGATGGCATTCCCTTGTTTCGATGAGCCGAGCTTCAAAGCCAACTTCTCTGTACGGATAAGGCGGAGTCCAGAGTACATTTCTTTGTCCAACATGCCTGTGGTGAGTGTTGCATATATACTAATTATCACATATGTTCAAATGTGTGAAAAATGGTTGCAATAAATTGTCTGTGTATTTCAGGTCAAGACAGTTGAGGTAAACGATGGCCTACTTGAGGACCAGTTTGATGCAAGTGTAAAGATGAGCACATACCTTGTAGCTTTTGTCATCTGTGACTTCAAATCTGTCACAGCAACAACATCTTCTGGGGTGCAGGTGTGGTCTCCCTGATGATATTTTAATTTCCTTCTTTTCTTGTCAACAATATGACTTTCTCAGTGACATTTTTTCATGCACTGTTGTGTATCTGTAGGTTTCCATCTATGCCGCCCCTGAGAAGTGGCTGCAAACCCACTACGCCCTGGAGGTTGCTGTCAAAATGCTAGACTTCTATGAGGAGTATTTCAACATCCACTATCCTCTACCCAAACAAGGTACCCTTTGTTCAGTTTTTCTGTAACTAAGTCACACAGCATTTTTCCCACTCACATATTGTCAGTCAATTCCCCCTCTTTACCCCCTCACTTTCTGTCCCCTGACCCGTGTTTTCCCTCTCTCAGACTTGATAGCTATCCCAGACTTCCAGTCTGGTGCGATGGAGAACTGGGGATTGACTACCTACAGAGAGACCAGCCTTCTCTTTGATCCCCTCACTTCCTCCGTTTCTGATAAACTCTGGGTTACTATGGTGATTGGCCATGAGCTCGCCCATCAGGTGAGTGTGACACTGCTTCTGCACTCTAATGACATTCAGGATTGTGTGTGTGTTTGGGGATTGACATGTCCCATTGTTGTGACCTATACTAGCAATATATCCCCCAGATGCTCATAGCTCAAATCATTACATAACTAGACAATATAGAGTTCTGAAATTCTTGTCTACAGTGGTTTGGTAATTTGGTGACAATGGAGTGGTGGAACGATATCTGGCTGAATGAAGGATTTGCCAGATATATGGAGTACATTTCAGTGGAGGCCACCTACCCCGACCTCAAAGTGGTATGTGCTTTGCTTAATCTGAGAATCAATTTATGTGATTAATAGTGGTAGATTAATATTAGGCTTGGAAGAGAGTACTGATGATGCTGTTCTGTGTACAATCTTGCAGGAGGAATATCTACTGCATACCTGTTTTGCAGCAGTTGGTCATGATTCGTTGAACTCCTCTCGTCCCATATCCAGCCCAGCAGAGAACCCCACTCAGATCAAACAGATGTTTGATACAGTGTCCTATGACAAAGTATGCTTATACTTCCAGTACATGTGTCACAAAGAGGCTTACACATACATACACAATAGTTTATTAGCTGTAGAAATCAACATCAAAGATAAATAAACATTATTTCTGTTACAAGTTCTGATTGGCCTGGTCATGTTTGAAACTGATGGAAAACAGCCTCTAAACACACACTTGTGACTGCGTAACTATTGATCTCTATATTGATATTGTAACAGAAAATCTAATATTTTTCACATTCATGACTTGAACAGCATTCAAACTGCTTTGATACCAACCCACAGTATGCCCAGTCATGGCCCATTTTCTCTCTCTCCCACCAGGGAGCATGTCTCCTGCACATGCTGAGACACTTTCTGACAGATGACGTGTTCCAGAGTGGGATAGTTCGATATCTCCGCAAGTACAGCTACAGAAATGCACACAACCAGGACCTGTGGGACAGTCTTGCCAATGTAAAAACACAAATTACATTAATTGTGAAATGCACTGTATATCCCTTTGTCATAGTCATGTAAATCAAAACATAAAGGGGCAGCCTGACAGAATTGTATTTGTCAAACACTGGATGTGCCAAACTTTTTCTGTATGGTTCTGTAAATTCATTATTGAATCACAATAGAGAGCTGTAGGTTTTGAATTAAACAGGAAGTAGCAAGACGATTACACTTGGCGAGATATGTTGTCCTCTTACCTTTTTACAGTCTTGGAATCAGACAAAGTACAGAGAGTGACCCAACCATTTACAGAAATCATACATTTCATATTTTTCTGTTTTAACTCATATATTAAATCTGGTATATTTGCATGCTGTAGTCTATTAGATATTTGTGTTTTCCCTCGTTCCAGACAGTCATTGTTTCTGAGTCATTTCATTATGGTACATTACATTGCTGAGACTTATAAGTAGGTAATGAATCAAAGTGAACTATGTCTAACTATGTGAGTTGTCTGTTTTTATTGCCATTGAAGTCATGTTATCTATGCCCAGTAATGCAATTCTAAAGGATTTTAAAAGAATACACCACCTTGCCATGCACTGATAACAAAACATTGACAGAAATAAAAGCAGACATGACGTTCATTGTGATGGATTACCAGTCTCTAGCAAGTTAATTTTCTTGCTGTACAGAAATGAATTGGAACCAAAAGCTTTCATAAAGTTAGAAAGATCAGATGGTCACTTGCAATGTAAAGTAAATTTGATAAGCAAAAAATGAATGAATAGAAATTTATGTTGAAAAAGTCTTCTATTTTGTTTTTCAGACCTGCTCAGAGGAGGACTTCATCTCAGGAAAACACTGTTACAGCAGCAGCCAGGCCTCCAAAAATGCAGTGAGTAAATATTTAAACATCAACTCGCTAACACCTCTTTATGGGCGTCCTCCTAAAAATTTCACAGCTTTTACAAGATTATTTTATGACCTTGAGACGGTGTGATTGCATGTATTGATTGATCTCCAATTGTCTCCTACAGTACCTGTTTGCAGGGGAACACCTGGACCTGACAGCCATGATGAACACTTGGACTCTGCAGAAAGGGATTCCTCTGGTAACTGTAACTAGGAAGGGGCCTCGTCTGCTGCTTAGACAGGACAGGTTCCTGAGGACAGTGCTGCCTTCTGACCCTCTCTGGTCCTCATTGCAGCAGGGGTGAGCATGCACTTGTACAGTTTAAAAAAAAAAAAAAAAAAAATTTAGTTTTGTATTCTGTTCACACTGTACGTTTCGCTTCTACTCGGTTTACTCTTGCAGGTACTCACCCGTTAACACCAAGAATTTAATTTATTATTTAGTAACTCTCAGGTTTTTAACATTATACTTTCTTCTCCTACATAGTTTCCTTTGGCATATCCCTCTGACATACAAGACAGATGCTTCCAACACCGTCCACAGACACATGATGACAACTCACACAGGTAACAGGGAAGAGAGAATATGACAACATTATTTATACAGATCTTCATTTTTGCTTTGTCATAATACTTTCCTGTTTACTCTTTTGCTGTTTGTCTCATTTAGACAGTATACATATAGGAGAAGAAGTCAGCTGGCTGAAAGTAAACACTGACATGACAGGCTATTATGTGGTTCATTACGAGGACGATGGTTGGGATGAGATGACCAAACTACTTTCAGAGAACCACACTGCTCTGAGCTACAAAGACAGGACTCACTTGATACACAATGCCTTTCAACTGGTCACGTAAGCAGATGTGTGTGTATATGTGTTTGGAGATCTGTGTGAGAGAACAAGAGATCTCTTTTATGCATGTCTGTAGTTACAGGTAAACAAAACGGCAACACAGCATTCCACCTGATACTGCACCTAACCTTTGAAATATTCTTGTATGTCTTTAAAGGGCAGGTCATCTGCCGCTCAATAAAGGCTTAGACCTGATTGGTTACCTGCAACTGGAGACACACAATGTGCCCCTTCTTCAAGGCCTGGGCTATCTGGAGACCTTTTACCGGTTGATTGAGAAAAGGAATGACTTTGATTTAACAAGAAACCTGGGCGTAAGAAGACGAGTGTACATTTAGTATCAAATTTATGCCTATGTCAGGAAGAAATGTTGAGAGTTCACATGAGATACTTTTTCTACGTGTGCTTTGGTGCAGATGTACATCCTGCGATTTTTCCGTGCTGTCATTGACCAGCAGACGTGGAGCGACAGTGGCTCTGTGTCAGAGCGACGGCTGAGGTCAGAGATCCTGTCACTGGCTTGCCACCTTGATGACCCTCCCTGTCTGAAGCAGGCACATCAGAATTTCAAAGACTGGCTTCAGTCCAACGGTACACTCAAGTATGTCTGTCTAAATTATATTTTAACATACATCATTATCAGTCAACACCTGCCAATGTGATTCACATAAACAGGTGCTATTCCCGGTCTAATATAATTTGATAATTCATCATGTCGCTAATATGCACGTCTCTGCTTGCATTTACCCCAGCTTGCCCACTGACGTGGCAGAGACAGTGTATTCAGTTGGAGCTCAGGATGACCATGGCTGGACCTCGCTCTTACACACATACAACATCTCCCTCTCTGCAGCACAAAAAAGCAAAATCCTGTTTGCCTTGACCTGCACCAGAGACACAAACAAACTACACAGGTACATCTTCTGCTGATTAGATTTTTCACACAGTTAATGCTGCCACTGTGTGGCAAACATGGGGTATTGTATCATAGTACTGTTGCCAGATAGTCTAGATCGAATATGCTAAACAACTTTCACTGGAGGCTCGTCCCGTGATGGCAGATAATGTGTTGTTAATAGAGAAGGTTAAATTGTGTGTGTTTGCGTTGCAGACTGCTGGAGCTGGGTCTGGAAGGGAAGGTGATTCGATCCCAAGACCTGTCCAGTCTCATCCTGATGGTGGCCAGGAACCCACTGGGACATCACATTGCCTGGAACTTTGTCAAAAAGAACTGGGACACGCTGGTTAAAAAGTAAGTACAACATAATGAAGACACAAGTGAATGACATAACACTATAACTCAGACCATATGATGCCATGAAAATACAGTTTTCCTTTCCTTTTTAAAATATACAAACCAATATACTTAAATCAAGCTGTTGTGAGTTGGATGCAAAAATGTTGTGTAAGCCAACAAATTTTCTCCTTTATCTGCTTCTAGAGGCTTTCAGTAACAAGTGGAACAGGTTTTTGATTTGATAAATACCTGAAAATACCACAAGCAACACAGATATCCACACCTATGAAAGCCCTGAATACCAATGTGTGGATATGTAGGAAGAGATATTAGTCTCTAACTGTCCTCTCTGTTGTCTTTATGCTCTGCAGGTTCCAGTTGGGCTCATTTTGTATTAGAAACATCATTATTGGCACCACAGGCCAGTTTTCATCTCCAGAGGAATTTACTGAGGTAAATGTGCTCTTATGTCTTGGACTAATCTATATTCTACAAGGTAATTCAGAGATGTACCGGTATTTCAACATATACTGAACAAAATTATAACCGCAACACTTTTGTTTTTGCCCCTATTCATCATGAGCTGAACTCAAAGATCTAAGACTTTCTCTATGTACACAAAATGCCTATTTCTCTCAAATATTGTTGACAAATCTGTCAAAATCTGTGATTAATTTTGTTCAGTGTATATGCTATTGGTATTGACTGGTTTTGGCAATATTAGTGAGTAATTATAATTAGTGATGAAATCAAAGTTTAAAATGGCAATGCCTGAGAAAACTAAACTGTTCTGCACCTGCATATGAAGGCGGGCACAAAATTGTTTTTAGTTGTAAAAAGTGACGCACTGACCTAAAAAGACTTTAAAACCATGAGCTCTAACACATGTGTGCTGACCTTGTTGCAAACATAATTGTGTTTCTATAAATGTATTTGTTTGACCCCCAGGTGCAGATGTTTTTTGAGTCCATCAAAGAACATGCGTCTCAGCTAAGAGCTACTCAGGTTGCCCTAGACAACGTACAGAAAAATGTTCGCTGGGTTCAGAGGAACCTGGAGACTCTGAGAAACTGGCTGAACAAGAAAATGAAGTGAAAGGCAGCAGAGGCAAGAGAGGTGGTGACGCCACAGAGGGATATTTGAAGTTTTCTTGAATTTGTATGTGTGTTTTTATTTACCAAGTATAATGTGCTTGACCTCACCAAAGAGTTGACAATTTTGTGTTGAAAAAAAAGCCTTTTTTTTTATTTTCAGGGGACTTATTTGTTAGACAAAAGTGTTGGGTGTGGGGGGAAAAAAATAGGGTGTCTGTGAGGATGAGTGTGTACCAAGAATTTTGGTGTGTGAGAGAGAGAGAAATTCATTCCAAAGCAACACACAAATGCGGTGTAAATAAATTCTTAAATAGACAATTAAAGGGTTCATTGTACGTCTTGGCATCTTTGTGTGTGTTTTGTTAACTGAAACATATCCTGCAACCATTATGTCTATGCTTGTGCATGTGCGTGCTTGGTATTCGTCATAGTAACTATTTATTTTAGGATTAGGGTAAACGCTATAAATAAATTAGAGTTGAAGTTAATGACTGTGCAACTATTAAATGTCCTCACAAGTATAGCTTGATTGAGGGTTAAGAGTTCAGACCTGATTTCAGGGTGAGGATTAGAGCTAGGGTTAGGGTTGAGCGCCATGGCATAAATGTAAAGCAGAATATGCTTGTCTTGTGGTCTGGCACCGCCACCCCCGCTAGTGACAGCCAATAGGATGCATGTATTATAATGTGATGGGAGGTTGTCAACAACTGGTCAGGGAGGAAGGAAAGTGTTGTTTGTGCGTTCGTTAGTTCACCCGACATGTTAGAGTAAGGTCTGTTTACACGTTTTTAGCGTGAAGTTGGATTTTCTTCGACAGTTCCGCCGTACCCGTGTTTTAGTCAACAAAACAGCTATGGTCGATAAAGTTATGGAAATCAGCTAGCGTCGTTAGCAATCTGAATGTCTTTCAGTCAGTTACAATTGTCAGAAGTTGGCTAGCTCCAAGCTAGCAACTACGTAGCTAACGTTAGTACAGTGAGGGTAGGAGAGGCTGCTGTTTGTTGTGAGCGTCTGGTAGCCTGCGGTGGGTTGTGGCCAGCGAGGAAAAATCATCACGTCTGTCGAGCTGCTGTAGAGGTTCCTTTTGTTTTGGACGTGAGGAGTTGTTTGCGATATCCTGCCATGGATCCCTTTGACAGTAACAACACAGGTAAGAAGGGGAGATTGTTGGACGTTGCAGTAACAGCAAGCTAACAACAGCAGGCCAGCTAGGAACTAACAGGATATTAGCAGCACTGAGAGTGACATTCACCCGAGGGCACATGTTGATTGGGGTTGGTTTGACTTTTAATAAGCTAAATGAAAGTTCTTTAATTTTTCCGAGTGACTAGTTTCTTTTGTACAGTAGAGGGATTCCCAGAAGCGAACTTAATCTCAGTGTCAATCTGTTGACGGTCCTGCAGAGGGATGATAACGTTTTACTGCACATGACCATCTCTTCCCCATAAGCGCAACTCAGAATGGGCTGATTGCGAATCTAGTTTATTTATGTATAACATTTTATTTGAACTGACCAAAGCCAACAACACATTTCTATCAACTTAAACAAAGGCTGTTTTGACACGGAAACATAGTATGCCAAGTTGTATGCTCTAACACAGCAGACCTGTTTGCCCAGTTACAGCCTGTGGGTTTGATAATATAGCCGTGTTTTATCTTGGTATAGAAAGCTGATAAGTCATGTATAGCTTAGACAAACACTTTTGCCATCATCACATGGTGCCCAAGGCTTTATTAAAGCAAACAAAAAGTCCTGTGCACACACTATAACAGCTCTTAGTGTCTCCTAGGTCGATGTTAGGTCTCAACCTGGAAGGAGCAATCACCAAATCACAGCAGTTAGACTTCCTGTTTTTTTTTTTTGTGTGAGTATATGTGTGTGCTTGGTGGTTGTGACTTTGTGATTTTTAAGTAAAAGCCCACATTTCACAAGGTCATTTTGATCAGATAATGATGAGACAACTAGGTTAGCAGATGTTTCCTTCCCATTTTGTTTAATGACTGGCTGACCGATACCAGTATTGTGACTGGTTACTACTCTGCTTATAAGTAGTGGGTCTGTTGTCAGTTCTTGCCTGGGCTGAATTAATGGGCACACTTCTCAAACATGTATACCAGTACACATCTATTTAACTATATTTTTTTATGACTGTAAGGTAGGGTTGATGCATTCAACAGGAAGTGAGCAGTCAGCAAGTAATTTCCATACAAGCTCAACGGAAGCTCTAGAGCTGTTGGTTATTCACACTTGCTTGGCAGTTTTTCTGATTGTAGTGTAGATTATAACCAGCACATCAACTGCCTGTCTTATTTGACATGTTGCCTATATGAAATAACATTCACCAGAATATCACAACAATACCCCATAGCTGTTAGAGGTAGACCTATAACAATCATTATCAATCAAGTGTGGTATGTTTTTGGTGGGTCTTATTTTTTTAATCCTATCCTCGTCTGCACATTTTACACATTACCTACTACTTAGTTCTTAGCCTATTAATAGACACTCATAACACAGCAATGTTGTCCAGACAGAGACACAGTGACAGCCCATACGGTCCTGTACAGGACAGACAAAGAACTACATTTCTGGACTCTTGTCTTCTTTTTGGGGAGCAAACACTCACCTTTGTTTGGTGTCATTGTTTCTTTATGAACACTGTGTATTCAGTAGGTGTTTACTGCCTCTCGGTGCTTTCCACTCAAATCCCGAGAAAGAAAATGCTCTAACCGGTAAAAGCATGAATGGAACGTGAGGCAAAATGGGAGGCTTGCATTGCATGTCGTTTTACTACTTTCGTTATTATTAAATTAGGAAGTTGAACATGCTTCTGATTGTTTCAAGAATTACTGAGGGGAGGAAAATCTGGCTGCCACAAATTACATGGATTTTGTAAGACAAAGCAGAACTCTTGTCATGATGCTGAAGGTTAGATTGTAGAACTGCAGGGTTTTGTCAACTGCAGTAGTAGCATATGACATGGCCAGATGATGAATATTCATTGTGTGTTTTCCTAGTTTTGAGAAGGATATACAGCGGTTTCTATCTTTTTGTAATACTAGTAGCTGTTTCACCAGCCCGATGAACCCGTTCTATGTAGGTCAACTTACCAGGAAATACTGTAGGAGGTTTACTAACAGGAAACTGAAGAAACTTAGTCAGTGCTTTGTTAAACAAGTATTCATGTCGCTTGCATATTAGGTGACAATAACAAGCCTTTGTGTGGAAAAAATGGCTTGTTAACCTACTCTTCTACACAGGTGTGCGTGTGCGTGTGTGTGCGTGTGCATGTGTGTGCATGTGTGTGTGTGTGTGCGTGTGTGTGTGTGCATGTGCGTGTGCGTGTGTGTGCATGTGTGTGCATGTGTGTGTGTGTGTGCATGTGTGTGTGCGTGTGTGTGCGTGTGTGTGTGTGCGTGTGTGTGTGTGGGGCCATTTAGATTCTGTTCTGTCTTTCTCTCCCCTATCTCACTTCCTCTTTTGAGAAAGTCTGATTTCTCTTCCTCTGTGTGTCGTAGAGCGAGCTGTCCTGCCTAGGAACATGATTGAGAACAGCATGTTTGAAGAAGAGCCTGATGTTGTTGATTTGGCCAAAGACTCCACTGCATTTCCGGTATGCTCATGTCATGCACGCCTTCATTTGAAGGACCAGTCTGTCTCAATGATTTGCATATATTAGAATGCATATTTGCATCCACTGTTCATAACTGTCACAAGTGCTTTCATCTTTAAATCTGATAATGTGAACAGATCAGTTGCATTATAAATAAAGATCCATAGATTCGAGGAGGGGTAGACCATAAAGGGGATTTTTAAACCATGGTCCTTTTTTCACATTTTTTCCACACATATCAAAGATATTAAAACAAAGAAAAGCCATCTAATACAGTACAATCTAATATACATGGTTATCTTTGCTAGTAACGTGTAGTTTAAGATGAAATTTTTATTAATTAATGAAAGAGAAAAATACAAGTTATGCTGTAGATTCAGAACGTGACTGATGTTTAAGGGAGAGTGGGGTACAGTTTGCCTAAACATATTTACTGCACATGTTCCAAAACATTTTGTACCTACTAGTCATTTCGACCCCAAAATATGTGAAAATAGACACATGGTTTAAAAATACTGAAATTACCCTTTAAGTTTGTCCCCGGTTCTCATTACCACCGTCTCTCACTCAAATCATTATGATTAACTGTTATCTGGGCCCAGTTCTTTGTTGACTGACCCTTCTCTGTCCTGATTATGATAAATTATTCTTGTCTCTGCCCACTCTCTCCTCACCGCCTTCACGTATGACATCTCACCCTGTGCTAATTAATTTACCTGGGAAAGCAGACCAGTTATTAACATTAAATGGGAAACATTGTGTGCTTAACTGAGGAATAACAGGGTGTACTGTACATGCTCTCTCCAGACGTTTCCTGCTCTTGACCCAGATGAGGTGGTGTATGAGCCTCGAAGCTCACGGTTGCTTGTGAGAGGCCTGGGAGAGAATGACATGGACGAGGATGAGGAAGACTGCGAGTCATCAGCCCGTCTGCTGGGCATGTCCTTCATGAACCGTAGCTCTGCTCACAGATCCAGCTCTTCTCCTTACACTAGACATGCTCCACCCAGGTAATACACTGAAAAGGTCATCATTTGGGACATTTTGCATAAAAACATTTTTGTACTGTGAGTTTTTATCTCAGAGCAGTGCAACATAATAATGTTTTATATAATTGTGCACTCCTGTCTCAGTAGTTTAATTGAGTGCATAGAATGAATATCAAAATATAAAGCCCCTTTCATGCATGAAACCTGCAACATTCCCAGACATAATGATCAAGGCAAGGGAGTGTTTTTGTTTGCTTGTGAGGAAAATGGCTGCTTTTGTATACTTTTCTGCATAATAATTGAAGACTTGAGTGAAAACTGGCTGCCTGAATGACGTATTAAAACTGACAGTTTGGGGGTATTATATCATCTTGTTCATGATATATCAGTGAAATGTTTCAACATGTTGATATAATGATGTCATATTGTTACACATTGCAACAACAAGCATGGCTGAAGGCAAAAGTAACATTGCTACCAGCTCCACGGTGGAGGAGTTAGTTGGAAGTGGTTTGGTTTGGTTACAAAAGATCAGATGTACAACAAACCACGTTAATATGTAAGAAGTGCAAGCAGACTGTAACAACAAAAGGGGGCATTACCACAGACTTATTTCACCACCTCAAACCAGAAGTACACGTTGAGTAAGAGGAGAGCCAAAAGTCCTATGAGTTCTAAACCAGGAATATTTTTCAGTATTTTCTCAGATTGTTAAAAATATCATTATCCCAGAAATACCTTGAAATATCATGATATTACTATTTTAGGGCCCACCCCTAATCCCATGGGCTCTTTATATGACAGTTTACTGCCTGCTCAGGTCTCACAGAAAAATATAGTCAAGCTTCACTTCCTGCATAATGCAGATAAAGAGAATTGCAAAAGGTTTTAGTCCACTGAGCAACAGAAGCTTTATGTTCGTAGCCGCTGTCCCCATTTCACCCTGTATTAAATTGTCAAAGTAAGTAATGTTAGCTCTTCTTGGTCTCAGGTCATGTTCACGACCCTCTGCTCGTACCATGGTTGTATGTGTGTTATTCCTGGTGATAGTGGCCTCTTTGACCATGGTACTATACTTCTTACCTGGATGCACCTTTACCAAGGTAAGAAAAATATTCACTAGTTCTATTTTGTTAGGTTTTGTGAAAATTTATAGATAGCCATACATGACTCTTTCAACACATTATATCTATATCTCTGTCAGATTATTCCCCTTTTCTCTGTCATTTACCTGGCTAACCCTAACTCATCATCCTTCTGCAGACGGGTTGTCATAAGCCGAACAAGACTGTTCCCATAGAGCAAGTCTTACCTGTGTCTACAAATGGGGAACTGTTTCCATGGGCACAGCTCCGGCTGCCTTACAGCATACGTCCTCTCAACTATGACCTCACCCTCAACCCTGACCTCGACAATATGAATTTCACCGGCCGCACTGTTATCACCATGTCTGTGCTTCACAACACCAAGCGCATTGTCCTGCACAGTGCTAACCTCAACATTACCAAAGCTACCATCAAGGTGGGATTGGAAAGAGTGCTGATGACAGTGTGTAATGAGAGAGTTTAGATGAAGTTGCCTACCTGACTAGATGTATGTCATTTGTCCCTGAACAAAAGAATTGATTAAAACCTTTTGCTTTTGTGATGTTTTACTTGTTAACTAATGCTTTCTCTCTTCCAGCTGGGTGATGGGGACGCCAGTAATGTGACTGTACTTGAGTACAAACCCAGTCAGCAGATAGCTGTTAAGTTCTCTGAGGAGCTGAAGGCTGGCCAGTACTGTGTTTTGACTCTGGATTACTCTGCTAAATTCTCACACACCTATGATGGTTTCTACAACAGTTCATACACCAATAAAGATGGAACCAAAAGGTAACAGTTAATTGGCTGTGCTGTAAGCTGAATGATGTGCTGCAGAGTAAAGACTTAAGCTAAGCCCCTATGGAGAGGATCATGTCAAGATCATCATCTTCATAACCTTTTGGTCAACTCATGACCAGACACTGTGCTGTAATAATAACAAAAATGGGCTGTTTTATTTATTTTACAGCATTTATCTAATATGTTATTGCAGCATGATCATGTGCATCTCCCTCTTGTCACCAGTGTCCTAGCTGCAACCCAGTTTGAGCCACTGTCAGCTAGGAAGGCCTTTCCTTGCTTTGATGAACCAGCTTTCAAAGCCACCTTCCTGATTAAAATCAGCAGAAAACCAAACTACACAACTCTTTCAAACATGCCTAAGGTACTGTGACATTAGTTCTGTTCCTGGTTATTTTTACAGTAGGGTAACACGTCAATATATTTACACCTGTAACCTCTCACTTAGGTAGGTATGTAGGTACATTTATTGTCACAATATAACAGGTTATATAATGAAATTGAGCTTTGTAACTCCCTTCTGCTACATAGCAGACAATATTAATACAGAAGCAATTATAAAACTGGTAAACAGAAATAAACAATATTCAGTATTAAATGGAGCAGTGCTGAGGATGAATTAGTTTAAGAGTCTGATACTTTGGGGGGGAAAAGCTGCTCTGCAGTCTGGTAGTGCAGCAGCAGAAACTTCTATATCTCTTCCCAGAAGGCAGCAGGGTGAACAGGCTGGGGTGGGTACTGTCCTTTAGTATTCTTTGGGCTCTGTGTAGGCACCTCACCTCACCGATATCACTGATGCTCGGCAGATGGGTACTAATTAGGTCTGGAGCCAAATATTCGATCATTGGGTACACATTCGATTCACTCTTAATTACCATCAGATCTTCGAAGTTCCAAAAATTACATTCGGGCCAGCCCTTGTTCCACCAATGATCTACTGTTTTAATCACCCGCTGCAGAGCCCTCCGGTCCTGGGCTGTGCACATCCCATGACAGTTTGTGATGTTTCTAGTCAGGATGCTTTCCATTGCTCCTCTGTAAAAGAACTTGGCGTGGGAATTTGGCCTTCTTAATCTTCCTCAAGAAATATAGTCGTTTCTGAGGAACCTGAAACTATTCACCTGCTCCACCTCAGCTCTACTGATGTAGACAGGAGTGTGTGTCTTTATCTCCTTTTTCCTGTAATCAGTGATCAGCTCATTAGTTTTGCTGACATTGAGCAGTAGGTTGTTCCAGTTACCAGTTTCCTCCCGATATGAAATCTCATCGTTGTTTGAAATCCGGCTGATGATGGTGATGTTGTCAGGGAATGCAGTCTTGGGTGTACACGCCTATGCACTTAGTCTTCTTCTTCTATCTCCTTACAATTTGCTTGTCTTGATTGCACTATTTGTTAACTTTTATTGCTTCCCCTAGGTATTTACTATCCCATTGATGGCGTATGTATTAATAGCTATTACTAGTACTTTTTGTTGCTCGTAGATTTCTCACTTTACTGATGCTTGTATGTTGTCTCTCATATGTAAGTCACTTTGGATAAAAGTCTGTGCGAAATGAGTAAATGTATATCATGTGATTGATTGGCATCATTTTTCCACTTTAGCATTTACAGAGATTGTAATTTTTAATTACAGTTGGTTTTATTAGTGTGACAGAATTTATTTTTTAAGTACAAACTAAACTGTTGAATATTCTTTTTGAACATAAAAAATGCAAATGGTCATTAAATAAAAATTGAATCATTTTCATATAGTCACTCACTATGTCTTTTTCAAGGAATTTGTGAGTCATTCCTGTCCCCACTGTGACTTATAAGCTCTCAGCATGGGCACAATTAAGCTAACAGCATGTATAGTTTTTAGCTTGCAGTGCTGTATTTCACAGCAGTCTGAGAAGATGCCAAAGTGGATTTGTGATTTTGGAGTTTATTTCCTTGTACTATGTGTTTCAGGCTAAAACCACACCACTTGACAATGGCCTCATGCTAGATGAGTTTGAGAAGACCAGTGTCAACATGAGCACCTACCTGGTGGCCTTCATCGTCGCTGACTTCACCCCTATCAGCAAAAATGTTTCTGAAACCGTGGTAGGTCTGGCACAGATATGACTCTTAGTTCAGGCTCTTGTGTTGTTGCTGATAAATTGTCTTTATTTATTTATATATATCTGGGTCTGTGTGTTTTAGGTGTCTGTGTATTGTGTGCCAGAAAAGAAGGAGCACACTGACTATGCTCTGGCCACAGCCTCCAAACTGCTGGAGTTCTACAATAACTTCTTTGAAATTAACTACCCCCTCAAAAAACTAGGTGAGTACACACAGGCACTTGCATATTATTTTTATCTTCCTTTGATTGTTCTTTCACTTCTCTTTTTTACATTCCCCAATGTTCTCCCTCGCTCTTTGACAGACTTGGTAGCCATCCCGGACTTCCTGGCAGGAGCCATGGAGAACTGGGGACTCATAACTTTCAGAGAGACCAGCCTGCTGGTGGGAAAACAGTCCTCTCCTTTGGAAAAACAAGTAGTTGCCTCAGTCATAGCGCATGAGCTCGCTCATCAGGTAGTTGTATTTGCCTGTGTGTTTGTGAAAGGGACAGAGACAGTAAATATGCTACAGTCAGGTCCTGATGCTTCTGATGTCGTGTTTGCAGTGGTTTGGAAACCTGGTAACCATGAGCTGGTGGAATGACCTGTGGCTAAATGAAGGCTTTGCCACTTACATGCAGTACATGTCACTGCAAACAGTGTTGCCCCAGCTGGACACTGTAAGTTCACACATCCAGCTCAAATGAATCCTCCATTTAATTTGATGCAGAACAATTTTGTGTGCTTCACTATGTGCCTTAGCAGTAATTCCGGTGTTTGTTTGCAGGGTAATTTGTTCCTGGCAGTGAGGTTCAGAGCCTTGGACAAAGATGCACTAAACTCCTCCCACGCTGTGTCGACGGAGGTTAATACGCCGGAACAGGTGGAAGAGATGTTTGACTCGGTCTCCTATGAAAAGGTACACTTTTATATACAACACATACTTAGATAATTAGATGCAATGCATTGATTCACTCAACTTTCATATCCAGCTGTTAATCAGAAGGAGCTTTATTGCCTCTCAGTAAAAAGTAGTGTTTTACACATACAAGGAATTTGCTGTGGTGATAAGGTGCTACACGTAGACAAACATACAGTTGACAAAAATAAAAGAAATATATAAATATGAAAAAGAAGAACAACATTGCAGATATATACATGTGCATTATTCTGGGTCTGTGCTGAAGTAACGCAACGGAAGAGAATATTGTGTACATACAAATACACTGCTCAAAAAAATAAAGGGAACACTAAAATAACATATCCTAGATCTGAATGAATGAAATAATCTCATTAAATACTCCTTTGTCTGTCACATGCTCAGTGTGAATCTACTTTCATCTGTGAAGAGCACAGGGCGCCAGTGGCAAATTTGCTCATCTTGGTGTTCTCTGTCAAATGCCAAACGTCCTGCATGGTGTTGGACTGTAAGCACAACCCTCACCTGTGGACGTCGGGCCCTCATACCACCCTCATGGAGTCTGTTTCTGACCGTTTGAGCAGACACATGCACATTTGTGGCCTGCTGGAGGTCATTTTGCAGGGCTCTGGAAGTGCTCCTCCTTGCACAAAGACGGAGGTAGCGGTCCTGCTGCTGGGTTGTTGCCCTCCTACAGCCTCCTCCACGTCTCCTGATGTACTGGCCTGTCTCCTGGTAGTGCCTCCATGCTCTGGACACTACGCTGACAGACACAGCAAACCTTCTTGCCAGAGCTCGCATTGATGTGCCATCCTGGATGAGCTGCACTACCTGAGCCAATTGTGTGGGTTGTAGACTCCGTCTCATGCTACCACTAGAGTGAAAGCACCGCCAGCATTCAAAAGTGACCAAATAATCAGCCAGGAAGCATAGGAACTGAGAACCACTCCTTTATTGGGTGTGTCTTGCTAATTGCCTATAATTTCCATCTGTTGTCTATTCCATTTGCACAACAGCATGTGAAATTGATTGTCAATCAGTGTTGCTTCCTAAGTGGACAGTTTGATTTCACAGGAGTGTGATTGACATGGAGTTACATTGTGTTTAAGTGTTCCCTTTATTTTTTTGAGCAGTGTATATAAACTGACAACATAAAAATATACAACAACAAAGATCAACAATCAACAACAAATATGCGCAACGTGCCAGGTCTGTGGCCGACACGAGATGAAACAGTATTTAGATGCAGAGACATTTGTATCATTTGCAAGGGGGTAGTTTCAGTGGGGGACCCGGGCCTTGTTAATGAGGCTAGCTGCAGACGGGAAGAAGCTGTATTATCTCCACAGACCCTCACACTCTGTTATAAGCCTGGTTAGTTTTACTGTTCTGGGTCTGATCACAGATGCTTTGTGCCTCTGTCTTTCAGGGTGCATCCATTCTCCTGATGCTGAACACCTCTCTGCCAGGCGACCAACAGTTCAGAAAGGGTATCATTCAATACCTAAAACAGTTCAGTGGATTAAACACAGACACCAACGACCTCTGGAACAGCCTTACACAGGTGCGCGCGTGTGTGTGTGTGTATGTGTGTGTGTATGTGTGTGTGTGTGCCTTTTTTTTTTGTGGTACTACGCAGTGTTTCCCCTAGGATGGATATGTATGCATAGTATGTCTGAATATAAAACCCCAACACAACATGTCTCAGCAGTTTTATGTGAGCTTTAGATGAATGTTTTGGTGGTGGTCGTGGTAGTCATGGTCAAGAAAATTTCATGTTTTCCAATGAAAAATATATAATTTCATATTATATTGGGCCATTATTTTCACCATATCTCTGAACAAATAGTTGGAAAAGTTAGAGCAGATAATAAATACACAACACCCAGTGATCAGTCTACTGGGGCGGAAGTAAACCATTAGATTTGGGGAAAGTAATTTGGTTGGTTATGAGGCTCTCCACAGTGATTTTACATTTATGGCACAGCGTGTTTTGGGCATCACCCCCTAAAACCTTGATAATATGACCTCAGAATCATTACATATAGGATTGTTTATGTTTGCCTTTTGTGTCTTCATTTTACAGCTTTTGACATTTATCTATAGACATTAATATAAAGAAATAGGCAACATGAGAAACCTCCTCCCTTCTGAGGTGCATTTTATTTGCACATTAAAATCCTAAAAGAAATGTCTCCTCATTAGCTTAAAAGGACTAGTTTGCATCAGTAATTAGCTTTATTAACCTCAGCTCCTCTACAGTCACCTCCGTCCTTTCTTTTCCTAACAACCACTTTTTCAGACTCAATAATTTAGGATGAACCAGTCTGTACAGTACATGTTCTCAACATTGGACAAGTAGGTAGTAATAACATACAGCTACCAGTTAGCCTACTTTCTCTTAATTGAGTTAATGTTAAGTTACATAGCGGCCAAAAGACGCAGCCTACTGTAGAAGCTTTCCTGCTCAGCTGCACAGTCTGAAGGAGGAGAGACGTTAGCTAGCGCAAACCGGCTTCACTTTTCCAGCAGGTGGTGAAACAACATACAGACTTTTCTTGGTCTTGAGAAGCTACACACTGTAACCGACACCGTACATTTACTGCCTGAATATTTTCCTCCGCTTGCGGTCACCATTACTTTCTGCCGCTCGGACAATCGAACACTCCCTACGTACCTCATGATTCTGAGTTACGTTGCTGTTATAACAGCACCTGTCACGTAGATGTCATTTGAAGAATGGGGAGAGGAAGTGAACCAATTGGCGAGTGTTGCCATGTGTGCATAATGTGTGAGTGAAGATTTGTAGCGCACTGATGTAATAGGGTCATTCCTGGCTATTGGTGACTTTTATGTCCCCAGGAAGTGACTCTAAATATTGTACTTAAAATAAATGAAATGGCCATTACAAAATGTTGCTATTATTATACATTGAGGTCTTCTTTATAACATCAACAAAAAATATTGCATGTAAAAACGTATATTTTAATGACCTTTTTGAGGGAACATACACTCCTTTTTTGTCCCCAGAGTGAATTTTCAGTTTCAATGAGACACGTTTGAAAAAAGATTGTAAATAAATAGAAATATAACTTTATTATTGTATGTAAGTATCAAAAATACATCATCTAGATTGAACATGTGAGTTGTGTAAACCTAATCCCGATTGTTTTTTGCCTCTGATCATTTCCCCTTTGGGTTTGGATTATAGAAATTTGTTACCACAGATCTACAGAATATAGCTGCAAGATTTCAGACAACTCCTACAATTATCCTAATATATAAAAAAAAAACAGTGAACATGGAATTGGACTTCTCAGATTCTGGATTTCTCTTCTTGTCTTCAGGTTGAGGTCTCAGCACACCACCAGAATGTGTCAGAGATGATGAGCTCGTGGACGTCACAGAAAGGCTTTCCATTGGTCACTGTAAGCCGCAATGGAACTCAGGTGACCCTTACCCAGGAGCACTTCCTGTTAACGTCTGACAATGCCACACATAGTTCCAGGTGAGTTACATTACCACACACATAGACACGCACAGATCTTACAAACACACCACCCTAACTGTATTTTGCTGTCTCTTTAGCTTGTGGAATATTCCAGTGACGTACGTTAATGACAGCTGTAGTTTGGCCCCAGAGTGCAGACAGGTGTTCACTCTGAAGACCAAATCAGGTAAAACACACACCAAGTTTTAACCTGCAACATCAAGTCTTACAGTCCCGGGTACTGGGTCAAACGGTACATGTTTGCGCGTGTGTGCATTTGTTTGTGTTTTCAGAGACCCTTAAGCTGCCAGAAAGTGTAAGGTGGCTAAAGCTGAACTACAGAAACACAGGCTTCTACATCGTCCACTACGGAGACGAGGGCTGGGATGCTCTTGTAAAAGCTTTGTCCAACAATGTCAGTGTTCTCACACAGGAGGACCGTGCCTCGCTCATTCACAACATCTTTGCTCTCTCCAGGTAGAGTGCATGACATAAATAGTTGTTTTTTAAATAGTATTCAGAAAAAGATCAGGAGAATTTTCGAATTTTTCTTACCTCTCCCTCACTGTCCTGTGTTGTCAACAGACTGGGACGTGTGTCCTTTCATCAAGTCCTCAATCTGTTGAAGTACATGTCCAATGAAACTGAGACTTCTCCTGTGATAGAAGCCTTGTTACAGCTCAATGATATCTACCGGCTGCTCGACAAAAGACAGGAGCAGGGCCTTGTGGCCCGCATGAAGGTACACACACACACACATCAGGAGTTATGATAAGGTAGTATGTTTAGCAGTAACATAAAGGCAGTAAGTAATTCTAACATGTCTTACACCAAAATATGCCAATTTGAGTTCTTAAATCTTACCAAACACAACCTTGACTCAAATGTCCTTAAGTTTATAGCTCAAGCGATTATTTTCCCATTACTGATCACTGACTCAAACCTAACCTACATGTATAAAATGTTTAAATTAATTAGACTATCAAAAATACATACATTTACTTAGATTACGCGATACTTAGATCAGTAGCTTAAAGGTATAAAATGCACACTAATCATTTTCATATCTTCAACAAAACCACATGAAATTACACATTTTTATCAAGAAGTTAAAATGTTGGTGAGATTAAGTTACAAGTCCTTGTTGCATCAGGGTGAATCGCGGATTCATTGCAAAGTTTAACCATCATAGTGTGAAAAACAGTTTCACTGACGCTGTTACTTTTCAAAGTAATAATTCTGTAAATCGATAGAAGAGATTGGCTGTGTCAGGGTTTGGGGAGGGCAACTGATTTAAAAGCCGTTGCTTTCGCCTCCACTAAGTGAAATCCCGAAGGCTGACTTGGGGCATTTTGGAGCAGGGACACTGGGAATGCTCATCATCATAGAAATAGATCATAAGATTATTGCAGCTTCAGTAGTATCTGCTGCCTTCCCTTCGACACAGAGTTCTGCTCACTCACTGGAGCAGCTCCAGTGAGTGAGCAGGACATTGAGCGAGACTACAGAGAGAGGCGGCAACATCAGAGCCAAAGTAGTGCATCTTAAAAGGAATTTAACCCTAACTTATTTTTGCTGATTCAAAAACTGATGAATAATTTAATGAACTGACTCAAAACCACGGTATGATCCAATCCATGAGTTTTGTGATTCATTGCACCTCTAATCCTAAATCTTTGAAAATAAATGTCAGTCAATTTATAATGTTAATAATTCTTGTGACCTTTTTAAGTGTTGTGTTTCTATGTATTAATGTATCCATGATTTTTTTCTTGCATATGACAGAATTATATTCTGCATCAGTTTGGTTCCTTGATAAGCAAACAAACATGGGAAGAGGAGAAGAGCGTGTCTAAACAGGAGCTGCGTGCAGCCCTGCTGGGGACGGCCTGTAGTCTGAATGAAGAAAACTGCACTCAGCAAGCAAAAGACATGTTCAGAAAGTATGTCGATTCCAATGGGACCTCGCGGTACGTATAGCACAAACGTTTTATTTTTGGGTTGCTTTTTTGGGTCACAATGACAGAGGGGTGAAAAGAGATAGAAATAATCTGTAGCAGCGCTGGGGGAATGTGAAATTTGAGTAGTAGGAAGTAAACTGAAATTTGGTGCACTTGTAACCTAAAATATGTTGACGTCTTTATATTTCTGTAGGATCCCAGGCGATCTGCAGCAAGTTGTATTCACTGTGGCTGCTCAGTCATCTGAAGATTGGTTGACTTTGCTTGACATGTACGTAAAAGTCACCTATGATGCAGAGAAGCGAAAAATGTTACGGGGCCTAGCATCCACTCAGGATGCGCAACATATAGTATGGTAAGTGTTTGTGTTTGCTACTGGCCAGGATCAAGCATCACCATCTTTCCTTCCCCACTGATGATTTATTAACCACATATTCAACTGATCAAATCAATTTCATTTGAAAAAGCTGAAAGAGAAAAATCCAATGCCCTCATTCAAAGTAAAATAACTTTTAGTGAAACATGCCTTGTAACCAATGCGGAACAGAGCAGCAATGTTTGACTTTTAAGGTCAATACAAGTACACTGAGAGGCAAAATCCAACCAAACCCTATCCTGAGACCAATGTCTTAATAAATTGCACTTGAAAATAAACAAACATGGAATAAACTTGAGGCAGAAGCTGTATGCAATAAAACACCGCAAACCTAAACCTACTTTTTCCATCGGGTAGCAGATCATATTGTGCAATAAGTACAGTCTTCTCAGCTCTGTTAATATACTGACTACTAAAATAGCACCAAAATGTGTCATTATGTAAAATATATATTGTTGGTACATGGCTTCTTGAACTTGCCCATGTTAACTCACAGATCACAGACACCAACCCCCCCCCCCCATAATAGAGAAATTTCCTCCTATATCCAATATTTGACATTTTTATTATGATTTCATATACTTAGGTTATATCATCATCATCGTACTGTATTGTACATCAACATCTGTTAAATAGCCTGTTTAAAACTATTTCAACTGAATACTATTAATCTTGGCTACTCTGATTATGTTTTTCTTGTCATAACTCATGCTGTATGGAAGTAACGATAATGACATGAGTGTAGTGTTGTTTATTACCTGAACAGCATTTGTACAGAATATTTATCATGGTCTGTCTAGGATTTTAAAGGCGGGTCTGCAGGGGGACATCATCCAGACACAGGAGTTGCCTTTGGTCATCAGCACTGTGTGTAAATACTTCACTGGCTACTTGTTTGTCTGGGATTTTATACAAGAGAACTGGGACAGCCTCATAGAGAAGTAAGTGATCCCTGTTAGCATCATATAAGTTATCGCTGAGAATACATTTAAAGATTATTTTTCATAAAAATGAAAAGATGAAACAACATATGTGCTTTTGTGTTTTTGGCTGTAGGTTCCCTGTGGGCTCCTTTGCCATCCAGACAATCATCAAGTCTGCCACCTCCCAGTTCTCCACACAGGCACGCCTTGACCAAGTATGTTGTTAATGTTCTTTTTTCTAACATAATACATTTATGCTGCAGCGCATTTTAGACTCTTCGCACTTGTTTGTGGGGAGCTGTTACCTGTTTACAGAATGCTTTTAGTGTGTTGTCTGATCTGGCCAACACCACAATGTGTGTGTTGTGCAGGTGCAGGGTTTCTTCTCCAGTCTGAAGGAACGTGGCTCTCAGATGAGGAGTGTGCAGGAAGCTTTGGAAACCATCAGGCTGAACCAGCGCTGGATGGACAAGAACCTGTCTAAACTCCGAAAATGGCTCTAATAAAGGCACTCCATTCAATGTACGCCCCACTAACAGACAACCGGGGCATGTCGTCAAGACAAACAGCAGTGTTTGCACTATTGTAGGACTGCATCTCTCTAACTCCCTTTATCCAGGCCAGAGTACTAATCAATGCCAGGGCTTGTGCTCTACCTGGGTGGACAAGGTGTTTGATTTTCTGGGATCAGTCCTCGGAGTTGTATTTGCTAGCTCAGGGTGGCTCTGATTGTGTGTCTGACAGGGAGTTGTCAGATGCAAACACACACTCCTCACACTTAATGCTGTCAACCAAACCTCTCCTCTGCAGCTCTCATCTAAACTTCATGCCTGAGCAGACAATCATGCTTCTCCCACACTCCTTTTGCTCCATCTTCTCTAACTGTATGAGCTGTGTAACTTGGCCACTTTGAAAAGGGCAGGCATGAAGAATCAACATTACTGTCTACTTATGTACTGTCGATCAGCCCTGGACTTTCTGTAAACCATCGGATATAATTATATAGATGCAGCTGTCAGGGATTCCTCAGTGGTGAAAAGTTGACATTACAGGTACTTAGGGGTGGATTTATTCTTAGAATTAAACTAACCTTGTTCTGTGTAGAAACAATAGCTGTCTGCCATTCTAAACTCCAGTTACTCGTGCTGAAGCATTTACTATAGTAGTCATGGTTTGGCTTGGAAATTGGTTGATTGACGATAGCTTGAAATACCAAACTTGTGTTGGTATCAATTGAATGTACTGAAAAACCTTCCCACTGTGTACAGTAGATGGCGTACTGCACAACAGTGCAGGTTTAAATCAATTCAACCAATGTGTCTTAGGTGAGAACAGGCAGTGCACACTGGAGCCAGATGTTCATTTTTTTTCTCTCTCTCTCTTTAGAAACACCTTGTACACAAACTTATTCTTTAACCCTGTGTGCTTGTAAACTTGTAATTATAATGTAAATAAGCTCAACCCTTCAGTGTTTGCGATTTTAGATGTACTGTTTGAAACATCTGGACTTTTGACATTTTAAGATTTCTTTGTGTTATGTATACAGAGTGTAAAGAGGAACTGTATATATAGAATTGATCAAGAGTCTTGGTCAAATATGACTTTACTGTATGTTTTGAGTTAGACCACCCCAGGGAGGTCATTTGTTGATGAATGTTTGTGTTTTAAGGGCTAATGTGCATATTGAAGATACAAAGTTTATAGAGGAACATCTATATTGGGCATGGCTTATCTGTCCAGTAAGCTATTGCTCATCAGCCAAATAAAAATGCAGAAGGTTTAAAGTTACTCCAATGTTGCTGAGATTGAAGAATAGCCTAGCTATTTATTGGGACAATGTCTAAACCTGTTTTTCCCCAACGTTTGTTTGAAGATTTTATTTAAACACAGTTGTACACTCATCTTGAGCTTTATTTAAAGCGCTACTGCTTACTTATCCATCACATGGCATCTCTGCTTTTGGTTGTCAAATTATCCTCTTCTGAAGCAGCTTCTCAATTGTGTAAAGACCGTGTCGACAGGATATTCAAGTTCTAAAAAAAACAAAGTGTGTCACAAAGGCGCCACGTAAAAAATTCCAGGTAGTGTGACCTCTTGACTCGTTCACGTGCTCCAGTGAACATACTTGGTACTATGCATAGCTGGGAAAGCTTTTAAAAGGTCCATGTGCTTCTTGCTAGTAACTCCTACTAACTAATCAAACTAGGTGTAAGAAGAGGTGGGTTCAATGAAGGGATCAGACGCCGTGCACATGAAATACACACAAAAAGAGACATCAGGTGTACCAAAGGCATGGCTGTCTACGCCCTACCAAGGTTAACTGTGGGGGTTAGCAGTATAAATGATCACAGTACAGAGGACTGTGCATTCCAAACAAGTAGTAATGAGTGTGTCAGATCTCAGTGCAGTTTAGATCTGTCTGGAGGTTATGAACAGTATTGACATTTATTTGTTTCATCCAGTCCATCGTAGTTTCACATATATTGTAATAATGTGTAAATTGGCATTTACCTTTTAAATACACATCTTATACTTTTAAGTCCTGGATAAAAATGTTCATCACACTTTTTTTCCCCAGCTTCCATCAATCAGATCAATTAATCAGCTTTATTGAGGCTTTAGGACTTTCCCCCCACATTCTGGTTTATGTGAAGTCAGTTGCAATAAGCTGTCAGAGACAAGAGTTGCTGATGTCATTCAGGTACATGGTTCAGTCAAAGTTGTACTTACAGTACACAGTACATTTGCAGTAAACCCAATGAGAATGTCTTTGTTTTTTCCTCTGGAGTGAAATGCTGCAGATGCTTTTGAAATTGTGTTGCTTTTCATGTGAACCAAATACAAATAAAAGTTGTTTTCTGAAGATGTTGGATCTTCATTGAAATGAGAGGGCACTAGTATCTTCTGTGTTGTCAACTCCCAGACTTTACCTAAATCTAAATGGACTTCTGTTTGTTTTCTGTATTGCTGATCAACACAAAATTACCACTTGTGTCAAGGTTGATTTTAGTCACTAAGATTTACTTATAATTTTGAAATAATGACAAAAACACTTTTCAAACCATGACCGTCCAAATCAAGTTAAGCTGGTTCCAAATTCCTTGGCATTGATTTAGAAATGGCCTTTTTTTCTGTTCAGCCATGCTGAAGTAAATTAAAGTGACATCCTTCAGTTTAACATGCACTCTCTACTAGTGGTCCTACAGATGAAGGAAACTTAACCGTGAAGTCAACGGCAACCTCCACAGGTTTTTGTCAGAGAACTACATAGGAGGGACAAGAAGGATATAAAATAACTTCTGGAAGTTTACTAAAGGTAGACCAATTTATTAGGATGTAGGAAAATACTTGTTGGCCGCAATTAGTGTGAAAAACATTGGTCAGGTTCTTCTGGAAGGACAACAGTCAGTGAAGCTGTTCAGCTGAGAGGAGGAAGAAGTCAGTCCCAAACAACAAGGCAAAGAGCAACCTAGAGAAAAGCTGATTTTCAAAGTTTATTTTGTAGCTGTGCTGAAGCTTTTGCAGCAATCTTCCTGTATTTCCATTTTTTCAGAGTACTTGAAAAACATCTTGTCCATCTTGGCATAAAAGTTGAGACTGAAATTGTATTCTACTTCTACTAAGATGTGGATGAAAATTACTTTAAATGATCAAAAGACTGGAGATGTTGTGGGGAATAATCATTTAAAAACACTTAAAGCCATAGTCAAAACCATTACTTTGTCAAGTCCGTAAAGGAAAATAAATCCTTTAGTTATAAAAGGTATTTGTGCATTTTAATCCAGTTCACTGTAGCAAACTGTTCCTTCTATGTGTGTGTATTTTGTGTGCGTTTTAGAAAATCTGTAACGAGCCTTGAAGACTTGTTTTGGCAGAATGCCACACAGCTGGAAGACATCATAGCGCCAGTATTTTCACCCTCATTCTTTTTTCGGGGCCAATTAACTGAAGTGCACAAGGTATAAAGACAATTGAGGGCTTTGTATTGTAATAAAAGAAATAATCCAAACTCAGCATAATGAATAATGAATAAGATGTATGCTGTATTAGACCTGACAGACACCACTGGCCCAATGCATTGTCTTTGCTGGTAACAGAAAAGGTGGCAGGAACTGTTGTGTTTCAGCTATTTTATCTTCTCGTGTTCCCAACATAAGTTTCATTTGTTAGGTTTCATAGCACATTGTACCCGAGGTACAGTGTTGAAGCATAGTACAGAGCCATGATGAGACATTTGAGATCTGTGATATTTATCATATATAGCATTGTCTAATGCATGATATGTAGATCTTTACTTATCACAACCTTCTGAGTGACTTAGAGTGATCAAATCAAATAGATCACATACTGTACATACACTGTGATACATAACCATTTCTGTGTCCCAAGTATTTGCAATCTTTGTTTTCTCCCAAATTTATAAGAAAGTTCAATATTACTTAACACACACTTAACCTGCAGTAAGTGGTTTACAAGGTAAAGACAGTGGTGGACAAAGTACACAAATCCTGTACTTAAAAGTACAGATACCCTATATTATAATATTATATATAATATATATAGTTTTTAAAGGTACGGTGTGAATGTTAAAACATCAACCACATGTTTGCAAGTCGTTTGTGTCACATTTGTTGGTGTAAATCCTTAAAATTATATTTAAAAAACTAGCAACTGTGGCTGTTGGATGAAAATCATGTATTAAAAGAAGCAGTAGAACGCAGGTGTCAGTAAGTAAAATGGTGACCTGCAAACTCCTACAGTCTTTACATAGCACAGCAGCTATGTAGGGGGTTCGAGGGGATCAGTTGAAGTATACATTCATAATTGTAGGAAAAGATATTTAAGAGTAGAAAGATTAAGAAAGCAGGTCACATTACATCAGACCACATACGACCTGCATCAGTTTTTGAGTGACACAAGGCCTGGACACATAAACAAAAGCCAAATGAAAAATCAATCCATCATTGTTCAGTCTCAACCCTTTTTGGAAACACAACAACCATTTGAACAATGCAGCCCTGTTAAATGGAGAGGTCAGCTTGTCACTATCAGTAGAGTAGATCTCAGTCACGGTCACCTGCCACAACATCTTTAGCTCTCTGGGTATCAGATTGATCTGTGTGATCCAGGTCAGCGTCAGTGAGATGAAACACATTCTGATCACTGATATGCAAAGAATTGTGGGGAAAGTCTTTCAATGAGGAAATGTGAGTAGATTTGTGACTAGTTGAATATACGATACTGAATCTTCAGCAAGATTTGCCAACTTAGATTTGAAATGCATTATCATCTCATGATGAGACAGCACACTGTCAAAGTGTAGTGACCTAAAAAGCAACTTCAAAATGGAAAACAACTCAATTCTGTACCAATAAAATAACTTAATCCCCTCAATAATTTTTGACTATGACACTTAAAGGGGCTATATGTAGTTTTCAGCAGCCACAAGCGGTACGGTTTTCAGATTGCAACCTGGTATGTGCTCTTACACGTGATTGAACTCATGACCGAGCATAATCAGACACACTGTGAGTCAGCTTCACACGACAAGCTGGAAACTCATGAAAACTCCCACTGCAACTGCTATCTTTTATCAGCTTGAGGATTAATTAATCCATGCACGTTGCATGATAATGCTACACTACCAGCATTTAGCAACGTGATACATAGGTGTTAGCTCGCATTCTACTTATCAATAACTGTTTGCGTATCTTTCACCAGAGGCTCAACAATGTGAATACAGCTAAATGTATTGGATGATAACAAAACAGTTAGTGAGCTAGGCTGAATATTATAAATGAGATTGTTGCCACACTTCGGCTACGGTTTACATCATTTATTGCATGTTTAAAACACTGACATAATATTGGTGGCACACAGGATAGTAATATGGGTCGTGTTAGCTGGTGAGGTAATCTGGAAAGCCATACAACTGTAGTATTTCACATCGGATAACATTAGCAACTGGTCAGGGTTAGCCGGCAAGCTAACGTTATCTAACTTGAGCCAACAAAATCACAATATATTTTACATGCTTTGCAGAAATGTTAGTTTACCTGTGCAATAGGACGGCTGCAGGTTTTTATCCTTACATTAATTGATGTTATACGTGAATAATTAATGTGCAATATTCTCTGCTGCTATTTATTCACGTCCTTTTTGGTTCACCATAATAATTCTTAATAATGTAAATATTGTACATACCCACACACCTTTATATTTGTCTTTATTTTTTATATTTATACTATTATATTTATATACTCTTTATCTATCTACCTTTGACAAGTGCAACTGTGACAAAAGAATTTTCCCCTATAAAGTATTTCTGATTAAGTTTGTGTTGCAGTCTGTGTTGAGCTGGGAGCCAGTCGTTTTTAGCAGACTCCATCTCGTTAGCTGCGGTGTTGTTGCTGTGTGTACGGCAGAGAATCAGTAGGCAAGAGGCTCAGGAGTGTGCATGCAGTAACAGCCACTGGATTTCCCAGAAAATCCAAACTGAAGTCTTCACATAGGACTAGGCATACTTGCCGTCAGAGGTAACAGAAAAACCCATCAAGTAGATTGTTTTTATGTGAGGTTACAACCCTGTGATTAATTTCATTTAAAAAACTACATATAGCCCCTTTAAATGACTATTTTTGACTATATCACTATATCACTGTGGTATAAATCACAAGGCTGCATCACTAGTCACCAGTGGGTTTCAGCTGGTTTGCAACATCTCATAAAAACATACAGTACTGTGAAAAATATTTAGGCAGGTATGGGAAAAAGTGCTGTAAAGTAGGAATACTTTATAAAAATATACATGTTAATAGATTTTATTTATCAATTAACAAAATACAAAGTGAGTGAACAGAAGAAACATCTAAATCAAATCAATATTTGTGTGATCACCTTTTGCATTCCAAACAGCATTCAATTATTCTTGCACAAAGTCAGAGATTTTATAGGCATGTTGTCAGGTGTAAGATTAAATAAATCAAGCATAGCGTTAGTTCAGACAAGCAATAAAGTCAAGCTCAGCTCACAATCCCAGTGCATCAGCTGATAGCAGCCCATGTCAAGTCAAGCCCACATCAGCTGACAGCTCAGCCGATTTCCCTCTAAGAATTCATTTGCAAAGCCATACAAGGCTCCTTTTTGACGCTGCTCTAGATTGCCTACCCATACTGCTTTCTCTGTGAGATGCTTGTTGCCCACCACCAACCCAGCTCCTCCTTTTAGGCTATTCCTGACCAATCAATGTATTTCTGTATTTATTGATGCTGCTCTGTTCTGTACCCTGGGGGTGGGGTCTTTGCTGCTGCTCTCTCTGCCTGAAACAGAAACAGCTGTGTAGGAGGAATACAACTGGGTGAGGAATAGCCAAACTCAACTAACAAGGTGAGGTTGTTGAAGACAGTTTACTGTCAAAAGTCATACACCATGGTGAGCTTGAGCACAGCAACAAGACACAAGGTAGGGGAGAGAGGGGTGATTTGAGCCTGTGGGGAAGTTGAGCCACCCCATTTCTTGGCAACCATAGACAAAATTGGTCTCTTCAAAATTTTTTATGTTCAAGGAGTCCTGATTCTAATGTCTGAACAATTATAGACAGGTTTGATAAAATCTTACGCATGTGTTAGTGGTTTACAATTACAGTTACAATATGAGGCTATACTGTTAGTGTGACATTACTGTTAAACTGCTGGATGACACAATGTTTGTTAAAATGACAGGGATGGGGTAATTTGAGCCAAAAGACCTGGGGGAAGTTGAGCCAACTATTTGATGGTAATTGTACATAGCATTTTTATGCATCACCGAAATTATGTGACATTATGCATTTCAGACCAAAAACCATCATGTCATGCTTCTATA